CATACAGTAGAATTGCACTCTTCACATTTGTAGGAAACAGCCATTACTACACAAATTTCACTCCGACAAAATTCTGCTCGCTGCATGGTTAGCATAAAAGAAACTATAGACAAGTCATTTAGATCCTGTAACTGCGAGTCCTATGTTTCTACATAAATATATTTCAGCAAATCCCACAAGAATTGAGGCTTTTCTCCTTACAGTTCCATCTTCTAATTGCACATGGAGAAAACGGTCTCCAGCTTTGTAGTTTTTTGTGATTTCTGCAGACTGCCAAACTTCTTCATTATCAGGAATCCAAACCCTATTGTACTACAACAGAAAAACAAGATAATAGTTAGCTCAGCTGTAATAATACCAGACTAGCATAAAAAGATAGTCTTCAAAAGTGAAGTGCAACCTAAAAGCTGAACTAGCTGCCAGGACTTTTGGGGATTGTTGTTAGCTCTGACCCTTTCACTGGGCCGTATTTTTGTGCTTTAGTTACTCTCTGTGAAAGAAAAAAAAAAAAGAGAGCAGACTCATTAATCTCAGACATGCTTGTCCTGCTCCTGTTTAGTGTGAAGTCTGCAGAACAACACAGCGTGCAGGAAGGTGAACAAGGGCCAGACTGTTGCCTGGCTCTTCAAACCCTTCAACACTGAGCAAAGAGAATAAAATGCACTTACGACAAAGCCCTGATTTCTAGGAGACTTCAAATGAGGAAGTACCAGAGAAAGCACCTCGTTTACCAGAATTTATACAGTTGCTTCCCTGAATTCAAACAGTATACTGAACTTAGAAAGCATTTTGCCACAGGCACAGCTGTATACACAAGACACACTCCGCACAGTTACCTTTCTTTTCATGGGACTGAAGTGCAACCTCCAAACAACATCCTACCCCATTCTAGGGCAAACTGGCAGGTTTCTTTTCTTTGCAAGCAGTCCGCTGGCTTAGCTGAGCTCAGTCCCAGTAAGGTACTTTAGCTCTGTCTCAGGAAGAAAACACCCTTCCTAAAACCACTTCTTTCCAATGCAAGCAGATAAACTGTAATTTTCCTTGAGGTATTTGAAGAATTGAGACAACAGAATTACCTCTAGCCCTCTGAAGCATAAATGTTTTAATGTAAATTACGCTGTTCAAACCATCTAGTTCTCCTATGCTGAAGTTAAAATGCTGAAGCATTAGCAACATCTTTAAATGTTCTGCCCTAGAAGCCACAGGAAACACCCAAGAAGCTATAGGAAACAGTATTCCTTGAAAGGACATAACACAGCTGGCAACCTCAGTAAATACATCATTCTTCAATGATGTAGAGTGTGCTCTTCTGGTCCTGCCAGGGTTTAACAAATTGGCATCCCTAAAAATCTTCCTGATGCATCAACTATGCATTAACAGACACTGGTTTATTAACAGGGAAATCACTTCTGTTCAGGGATTTGCAGTTTGAGATTAGTTCTGATGTTCCTTAAACCTTGGTACATGGCATTTTTGATACTGTATTGCCTGTATCTCAGTTGGCAATGAAGATAACACAGAAGACTATATTTGGATGTAAGGAGACAACAGGAGGAAGGACAGTGATGTCAGAAAAAAGCCTGAAAAACACCAGTACCTGCTAGTACTGACCTTGTTATGAGCCATCTCTCCTCCAATTTGTAATAAAGTAATACTAGAGAGCACAGAATCACTCAGTCCCTACTTGCACAAGCAACTGTGTTGTATAATCTTCTTCCAGCATCTGTTTTGATAGCCCTCATTTAATTCCCCTACTCTAGCTATGTTCAGTCAGTTTAAACCAAATGTGTTTAAATAAACCCGTGAGAACTGCTGCAGCTGTCAACTTGAAAAATGAACATTAGTCAAGGATTTTATGAAGTGTTAGCATACCCACAGATACCTTGGAGACTCACAGATCTTCTCACTGTGGTGTTGCAACTGTTGGTTTTGGCACAAGTGACTTTTTCTCCTTTCCAATTTGGAGGAAGCCCTGGAAGCTCCAGCAGATCTTCAGAACGTGAGGGTCTCTGTGCCCAGAACCCCACTCAACGCACCGTCAACCACGGGTGCCTGCAGAGGTCCCCACAGACTGCACTGTACCTCAACAGCAGCTTTCTCAACTCTAACCACGAGGATCGGCACCAAAGGATTTAGGGTAAGAGGGACTTTTACAGGGACATCCTGCAAGTTAGCTTGAATTGCTCAGTCACCTCTCCGGTTTAATTTTCCATATCTTGAAGGATGGAGGTTGACCTTTCTGGTCAACCATACGCCAACCTGGTGTGTCAGGTGATGAACATTAATCAAAACCTCAGCAGCTTTCATGATATCTCTTTGCAGATGCCTTCAGCATGATGGCATTTTTTCATGCAATATCCAAAATCAAAAAGATCTTTTCTAAACACCACCAAACCACTATGATGACAGTGTTTTCATCTATCTGACCAAAGGGAGACAAACCCAGCTTCACAAGTATCTACTTAACAGGAAAATGAAAGACACAGATAAATAAGTTTTAACATCGCTTTTTTCATGTGTCAAGAAGTATAAATTGACTTTTCTGCCATTCCTACACTATGCTGATTTCCTGGCTTATGAAAAATACTTATCTATTCACAGCTGTTAAACTTAATTCTTTATTTGCTGTTACTCTGTGTGAGTCATGAATATCACCATGAAACAGCCTCAGGAGCACATCGCATGTTCCCACATAAGACAGTGAAATGCACCAGGTCACGGACAAGAAAGGGAGGAAAAAGCATGTGATCGAACTCCTGATTCTTCAGAAAAGGTCCCTGCAGTTCCAGGAGCCTCCATTGGCAAATGTACCCAGCCTGCCAAAGTTCGCCTTCTCCAAACCCTGCCTCACAAGTAAACAGAAGAGAGTTTGCTCATTTTCGTATCAAGTTACACCCACACTCCTTCCTCCCCTTCACCTGCCCAACATTATTCCTGATCAAAGAAAAACCCCCAATTTGTTCATTCTGCTGCTCAGTGTGGTACCAACGAAGCGTATTAATAAACACCAGTGCAGCACAGGGCTAAACGGGAGTTTATTAGGGCACCTGCTTTTGTGATAGAGGAGATACAGGCTTATAAATCTGTAACATATGCATATTAATTTTGTTATTTAAAGCTAAGCAAACGAGTTGTATGTCACAACACTCTGTTGACTACAGGAAAAGGGAAAATAATTGTGCAAAAAAAAAAATAATACAGCAGCCACATTAAGGAGGAAGAATCTTTGCTTTAGTGCCCAGTTCTGCCAAACTTATTAAATATTTGCATAACAAAAAGAGTGGTCTCTCCACGATTAAGCGGCCAGGAAAGTGCTGTTAAAACTTTAAAATTGCCTAATCACTAGCCAGCACCTCAGATATCTACACCTGAAGGCCAACAGTCTCAAAAAAAGGAAGTATTTCTCTCAGAAAAAGAAGCGTTTTCGCAGGCTGCCCTGAGATTTTATAGCTGTGCGAGCCGCCCTCACACCGAGGGGACACGCTCCCTCCGTCGGGTCCAACCCAGCCAACTCTGTCAGAAACACCAATGGCTCAACCTTTTAATACCCCAGAAAGCACAAAAAAGCACAGGCGCTCTCCGGCGAGCCTGGCATTACTCGCCCGGCCTGGTCACCCCTTTCCTTCTCCTTCCCCTCACGGGGCCGCCGTCGCCCCCTCAGCGGCGGCGGGAGAAGGCGCCCCCGCTGCCCCTCAGGCGCCGCCGCTGCCATGGCCGCCCGCTCCCCCTCTAGGCCCCGCTCACCTGGGTGTAGAGCTCGGCCAGCGCCATGGGGCCGCCGGCGGGGACAGACGTGCCGCGGCGGGTTCGGCAGGGAGCAGGTGGCCGCGGGCCGCCCCCGAGGCGTGGGGAAGCGGAGCCTGGCCGGATCCAGGGCCCGTCCCGCCCGGGCGCGGCCCTTCCCCGCCGAGGAGGGAGGCGGTTCCCCGCGCTGCTCGCCTCAGTGACCCGCGGCACCCGGCCGCAGGGCTCCTAATCGTGCCGGGGTTTTTATGCGGGCAGCTTGCACGGCAGGTCCCAATTCTGAGACATATGTAAGTATAACGGGATGGGGAGTAGCCCCAGTCGCCATGTTGGGTACATCCTGAGGGACGGGGGAGGCAGTGCCTAGTTCTGTGCCAGGAAAAATAGGTGCTGAGGAGTCTCCGTTAGGAGCAGGTGGTCAGGAGCACTGTGTTTATCACCTTGCTTGCTTTTAAGGCCTCCAAATCCCAATCTCTTCTGCAGTTTTCTCATTATTCTCTTTCCTCACAGTAATTTGGCCTCCAGTGTGCTGGTATACAGCACTGTAGGCTGAATGCTTGTAGAAAGAAATATACTTTGCCGTTAACATTGCATGATGTTATAATTAGTTTACTTGTTAATATATAAACAAAGGAAAGGAAATTCAAAAATCCTTGTTGATCTTCCATTTCCTAGCTCGCGAAGGGAGCCGCTCCTGGCCGTGCAGGGAAAAGGGAACATTCATTCATTAGTAAGACACCATGAAGGAGTTTCTCTGACAAACTTAGGATAAACATAACTCAGAATGCATTTAGTAAGCTCAGGGCACTAACAAGTATTGTAATTAAATGCCCTTTATGAGAAAGCAGATGTGAGCAGACACAGAGCCAGGCGCTGGCAGGGGGATACGTGCCCAGGGAACCATGAGCCCTCCCTGCCCACCAGAGCCCAGGAGCTGTCACAGCACAGAAGGAAATGTTTTAGCCAAGTACAAATCTTAATTCTTATTTCAGTAGCAGTTAATAGTTGGTGACAAACAAAATACCCTAGCAGAAGTGGGTTACGTCAAACAAAGTATTTTCAAATACACCCAGTGGTTTATGGCACCCTGTTGGTATCTGGGTGGATATTTGTACAATCCTCAGATTTTAACCAACTCCCTTGGCACCAAGTCTGCCATAGAGGCTGAGAGAACCTGGAGCATCGTCTGGGGACTATGCCAGCACACAGCTTATGGATAACCAACCAACCAAACGAGAGAAGAAAGGACCCCAAAGCAAATCTTACAGTTGTATTTTTATTTGGACGTTTTCCAGTGATAGCTATTAGGCTACAGGTTTTATGATGCATACATTTACTAAGTACAACATCAGACACTACAACAGATCAGAGCTCAGGTCATTCTGACAATGTTTTGGTTTTCATCTATGTACTGTAGTGGCATCGAGTGAAAACCTATGTTTAAAGGCTTTTATTTATCACATGAAGTATCAGCATCTTCAAAAACCAAGTGTTTACTCATAGTTTTTGTACGGTATTTGAAATGTGTTCAGTTTAAATCACAAATTACACTTCAAATTGCAAATGCTGGTGTTTCCAAGTTGGGAACAAATGTTATTGGATATCAATCCACTTTTCAACATTGAAGTTGACCCTATTTTTTCCTGTGATAGAATAGATTAATCACATTTAATGGACTTAAGCACTTTCATGTTCCATCCCAGATTGAAGACTGAGAAGCAATTTTTCAAAATTTGGATAGAAGACTGTGTCCTAAACATCAGAATAAAATGATCACTGGAATAAAAATACACAAAACTGAATGAGGTAATTATTGTGCAAAATCTCTAGAATAACTGTATATAATTCTAAGGGGTCATTGACAAATATTTTTCCAGCATCTGATAAAATCTATCATAGCAATAGATAATAAATTAAAATATAAAAGATATGTCCACATTAAAAGAGCATAACAATGATTCAAAGGAAAAAAAAAGTTGTTAAAAGAATTCTGCATTATATTCCATGGTTAAAGAGATATTAATCCTAAGGTGAAAGATCTATTATACACTGACACTAAAATTTTACTTCTGAAAAGTGCATGTAAAATACTGCCATGTAAAATGTTAGATGAATTACCAGTTACACATCTATTCCAACTTAAAAATTTTCCTTTAAAACATGTCAAGCAGCATATACTTTTAATGTGATATAAAAGTAATACCAGTCAAACCACTGAGTTTAAGGATAATACCTATAAATTACTAAACACTACTTTTTTTTTTAAGGAAACAAGATACAATAAGGCTTTTTACAGGTAAACAAACTTAAAAAATAAACAAAAATACATTTAGGCATATATTTTTATACACTAATGCTTAAGTAGTGGATACATTTCCTGATCTACAGTATGAGCATACTGTAATGCCAATTGTTTGTTTTTCAATAGGAGAAAAAATTTGGAGGTCAGCATGTTCTCACCTATTTTCTTTCCTACCCTCGTTACTGGATGTGAAGGCCTTCCCATTACATTCTTACAAGTACAGTACCCCTAAAAGCCTGAAAACTATGTTATACCTTATTTGGAGCCACTTAACAGTAGCTGTAGTTTCAGAAATCAAGTAACATTTGAAAAAAGAGTGTTTGGTATACCATGCACAGGAAAACAATCAAAATCATTTAGCAAAGATCATTCAAAACATTTATGCAATGCAGTATTAGGTTCTTGGAAGTACTGGCATGATCCATTAAACATAATATGGGGCATACATATTTGAAAATAAGACAACATTACCATCTTAAAATGATACTGACAAAGTTTAGGTTGTCTTTACTACCGACTTCAGGAACCCTACAAACAGCATGTCTACCTCTCAAATATAACTGAAATGTTTCAGTTTGCTTAACTGCACATTTTTTTTCTGTGAGTTTGCAGGCAAACGGATTAGTACCAAATAGTCTAATAGTGTACCTCTAGATCATTTCTCTATATTTTAAAAGAAATTCATATAAATGCTAAGTTGCTAGTTATTATAATTCATAAAAAATATTGCACAATGCAATTGACTAATCTGTGTGGCTTTTTTTTACATGTATATTTGAGCCATACACCACAAAATACCTGTTTTAAAGTTCAGAATTGGAACCTTTAGCAAGGCTTCTGCACTTATGTTGCACATTGTGAAATGTTAATTGTATATAGCAGATCCAAGATGTGTGAGAAGAAGAATCTTTCCAGTAATGTGGAATATACAAAATAACTCAGTTTCTCATTATGCACTCTGGGTCTCCAACCATTAAATCAGCATGAATCATAGTCAAATGACAGCATCAGAGTCAAAACCTACTCAACGTTCTTTTTAGTCAGGCTTTCAAAGAATGACAGCCTTGGGCTAATGCAGAAATTTTCTATTAAAGTTCTTCCTCTCAAATTCCAGTAGGAAAGAATACTGTCTTTCTTTCTTTCTTTCTAAGTGGCAACAAAATGAAAGAGATTATACTTAAAATACGGAACGTCATCTCTGGGGTCTATCAACAAAGAACATTAGACAGACAACAAAATCTAAATAAATACTAAAATCATTATTGACTTCTGATCATTTATTTCAAGATTCTGTATTTTTAGCTAACTACTTTTAAAAATAACTAAACATGTAATTTCCAGTGTGCTACTTGTGCTTAGTTACCATTTTCCTCTATGGGTGTTATTTGATACCACTTGCAAAAATCCAGTTAAAATAACAGACTGCATCAGACTGTAAATAAGGTTGACAACAAAAAAAAGAAGTATCTTATTTTTAGTGCTTAGTATGATACTGTCATACATTTAAAAGAACACAATATGCAGCAGCGATTTAGTATGCTTGGTAAACCACAGTACTAACAAATGAACACCTAAGTTACAGCATATAGTGAGCTATAAGACTTATCACTAGAATTTATGTCAAACTGACATAAATAAGGAAGTGGTTTAAGAAAACATTTTATATATTGCCAGTTTGTTTTCTCCATTCCAGTTCTTACAAATTAAATGTAACAGGCTCCCAAGTGACTGTGTATTCTACTATAAAATGCCTTACTTTCAAGTCTTCCGTGTTCAGGACTGTGACTGTCCCTGTTGGTCCCTGCCTATGAGAAGATTACATATGGAGTTTAATTTACACTATTTAAATACGTTACTAAAGATCTAAAAATGTCTCTAGACAGCTGAAGACACAATTTTTGTCCAAGCCTGATTTCCATATTCTGGAAATGTATGAATCAGTGCAATGAATGAACAGAAATGCACATCTTTCTATTAGCCTTCAATCTGTGGTGCTGTTACGTAGTTTTCCAGCTACTTTTACTACAGATCTGGGCATATATAGGCTGTTTGTTCAGAAAATGTGTTTTCAGTGGCTCACTATGTTTTAACAGGTAAAGATATCAGGCAACTGATTCTCCATCTAACACGGACACCACATCCTTGGGATCAGACACGTGATATGAAGCCCAGGCCCAAGCTGGCTGGGATCTGAATGGTTTCTAATGCCAGAGAGGATGGATTAAACGGAAAAGTAACAGGAAAGATATGTTTAGCATCCATGAGCAACTGAGGAGAGTCCTTCCTGTCTCTCAGACGCATCTGCAAAGATAAGAAAGGGATTACATTAGCATTTAGCCACTTCATTGATAATACTCATCTTGCAAAGAGGCAACTGTAGTTACTTTCTTCACTTTTGGTTTTGCATATCTCCCCCTTACAATGCAATCAGAAGATACTTAGATTCCCTGCAAAAGGAAGATTTGCCCATCATCTGGTAACTGCATCTTTTCAGTAAGTGGAATTATAGTTTTATTTCAGTTCTACCTTCCCAATCTCCCTCATCTTGCTAGTAATGTAATTCGATTTCTAACAGACTAGACAGATCATCTATCTCTCTTTTATTTTGCTCTACTGGCTGCTTTTCTTTGGAGTTTACAAAATATTTCATTTTCATCAATATATATAAAACTAGAAGGGCTAAATGAACAACTTTGGAGTGAACACAGGCCTCTGTTTTCAAAGCAGTTTGAAGTTCTCATGCAGATACAGGTCTGACAAAAGCAAATTTGCATATATAAATGTTACCACTTGAAAAGTTGGCATACATGTGTGTTTACATACACAAACATTTATAAGCACAAAAGCCTCTCACCTTCCAAAAATTTCATATATGCTGACAGGGAAGCTATCATTTTCATGTAATTTCACTGGGGGCAGTAAATTGTGACACCTTAAAATTTTAAGGCTCACATCACCTTTTCAACATAGTTAAAAAACGAGAGCTAAAAAGCCTAGTTTACTTCAGACTCCTGGACATATTTCAGGACACAACCTATTTTGCCTCATCAGGGGAGTTCTTAGAAGTAGATAATTTTTGATGAAAAGATATAGCCATACCTGTATTGTACGTATAAACGATACCAAGACTCTCTCTTCAAACTCATTAACTGGAGTATACAAATTCAGAACTTTTACAATCTGTGAAGAAGAACAACCATTCTTAGGTTCATTTTGCTGGTGAATCAACAGATGCTTCCATGGTTACTAATAATATACTTTTACATTTAGCTATTTAAAAAAGAAAATTCTTTACACGTATCTGTTATTTTTTGCTTTATTGATTTGTACAGAATTCCATCACCTGCTTAATGCTACGTTATGTGACTGCCTCCTTCAGAACGTGTGTTCTTTGGAGGTAAAAACTCTAAAATTCTACATGTCTGTGGAAAATACCAAACTACGGAAAAATCAGATTACAAGTAACCGATTGTGTTCTTACACCCCCTAGAAACATGCTGTATTTCTCTCCCTAGTTTTGACCCTGTTGTGGCCTTCTGTAGGTTCCATTCAAGGAAATGTTCAGTAATCATCAAAAATGCTTGGATCCAGTTATTCCTGTACAAGCTCTATGCAAATGTAGCACAGTTAAAAGAAAACTAATCTGTACAAAAATCTAATCTTTCATAAATAGAAGTCTTCAGCTGTTTACTGAGATACACTGGGTTCAGCCTTTCTGAGGCTAATGGGTGCAGTAACTTAACACTTTTGTTTGCAGACCCTGAGACAGCAGCTCTGTGTGAATTGTCCATTAGCTTAACTAGATACTAACTCTGATGGCAGGAAGATAATTTCCTAGTATCCTGGGCAGAGCTGCCTGCAGTATGGAGGTGTCTTACAGTGAGGAGTTTTGTCTAAGGATCTTCACAAACTAAAAGACTATGTATAGTACTACACACCGCACAGTCTACTGAGCTTCCTCTCATTTGGTCAAAAACTTATCTTGAATATCAGACTTCAGAAAAGATCTGGTCCTTTTTTAACCCCTCCAATTTAATCTGGTTTACTTTAAACAAAATAAGAAATCTTCAAAACAAAGTAAGAAATCTTCTATCCATGTGCAACAGCAGTGCAGGCAGGCAAAGCAAATAGCGTCAGAGCAGAGACCTGTTCAAACGTGACAGCGGGACAGACAATGAGAGTTTGCTTACCTGGGCTGTAGTCAGTGCATTGCACATCGAACAAATGGCTTCTGCATCTTCATCTGTTTTCTTTTTCACTTGCAACAACTGTGCAGCCTGGATGAGGGGTTCCAGTGTTTCTTTAGCCCCACTATTCATCAGATTTTTATCACGTAGCCATTCTTCCAGTTGACTCACATTGTATCTGTACAAAGAGGTAAGAGTATCAAGACATTAACGCTTGATTACAGCTAAATCAAAAGCACATGCAATTTCTGTTTCCCAGTGTTTCTTCTTTGTCCTTACACAGTTTTGCTTCACACTTGTCATTTAATGTAATTTTGTCTTCATACTGTTTCCTTCTCATTAAGGCACTATATGTTGAGTATCAAAACAGTTAGAAACTATGGCCAAAGATTTCCATTAACTAGCTTTTCCCATTTGTTTCTGTTCCTATTAATTGCAGGAATGTGATGAGTATAAGAAAGGCAAATGAGATGTTGTCCATGCAGATGAACAGTGAGGCTTTTCAAGGTTACTTGAGGGGCTGGGATGCCTTGGCGAAATTTCCTGGCATATACCAGTACAATGCATTAGACAACTGATGCCAAATGCAGGAATAGAATAAGATGGCTTTACCACAGGATGCAGCAAACTGCAGTGTGGATGAACACAGCAGGTATCCACTGAGTCACCAGCATACAAAGAAAGCAGTTTGTTATTCTTCTCTAAAAGTTGTGAAAGCAACTACCAACATTTCACCTACAGTTCTGATTCCTACTTGATGATGAAATACTTCTGTTTTGCTTCTACCACATTTCCTTAAGAGCCAGGTAGGATTTGTTCTAAATTAACCAAGCTCATTTTAATTAAACCACTCAAAATAAGTTTAACAGCATCTGATTGTGTGTGAAACAGCTGTTTGTGTGTGAAAAAATAATATTCAAAGTGTATGTGCTATTCCCTCAAAATGATGCTGAGTCACGAGTTCACTAAGATTTCCAGCAGCACATTCAAGGAAAGTATAAAATAAGTTCTCCCACCTTATCTGCATTCCTTTGCTCCACGAGCACATGTCCTTGCGCAGGAGAAGATTGTTAAGCGTTACAGCCCCAATGATGTAGAACATCTGCTTGACAACCTGTTTGATCAGCTCTGGATCCATTCCGTGCTGACACATCACTGAATGGAAAGAGTTCAGCTGCCGAATAATGGAGTCCAAAGTGTAGGTTCCTTCATCAGCAATGCTGGATGTTCTCTTCCGCAGCCCTGTTGGTTTCACCCCCGAGACACCTTGGATTGTCTCATGCTCCAGCATTCCTGAAACTGCATTTGATTGACAGCATTATTATAATGACTGAAAATTCCTATATGCACGCTTTTCCACTATGTTCTGCAAAATCTAAGCTTACAGGGTTTGTACAAAGATTACAGCTTGTGTGTTTGAAAGGAAGGTCTGACTCTAGGTCAGCAAAATACTGTTTTTTCTTTCCATGGTCATATGAGCAGCAGAGTCAGCAACCTGAGAGCTGTTTCATTCTTCTAAATGGTGTGATCAGAAAGCATAATGAAAATTTGTGTGAAAGTACTGTCTGACAAGACAAATGAAAAGTACTTCAATGAATAAAATCTCTCTGAATGTAAACTTCATCACTGCTACCTATTTCATTGCTGACTGCTGTCCATAATGACAACCAGCCATTTTTCTCCATATTCATTTTAATTATGAATTATCATGTAATTAAAGTCCAGATTCTCCATGGGATATTTCCCAACACACAGGGCAACAAATGTCAGACTGTCCTAATAGTTTCTTCATGTAAATGCATGGCTTATGACAAGTACAAATAAAGTGTACCGATTTATTCTGTCATGGCCAGAAGAACCAGCCACAGTTTAGTTTTTCTGCTAATCCAAACCTGTTCAGTGTAGTCCTTGTCATCTCTAAAAAGAATACTACAAGAACTATTAATAAAACTCTACTGGTTAGGAAGAAATACAAGATAGAGCCTATCACTGCCATCACAGTTTTCATTTTGGTACTACGGTGTGGAGTTTAAGGAGTTCAGCTTTGCCTTACCAATCATGGGTTGCAGAATGTTTTCCAGCACTCGGACAAGTTGTTGGTAAATCTGAATAGCCAAGTCGCTCAGCACTTGTCTGTATTCAGCTAAATCAAAATTAGTGAGGCAGTGTTCATTTTGACGAGGTGTATTATGCTTCATAAAACCCTGAATTCATGAAATAACAGAAACAAATGCTTCAGTGGAATTAAAAAATATTACACAAAACCAGTATTGATATTTTTTCATGCAAGTGACAAATAATACTTTCAAAATCATAGTCATAGCCCCTCAAAACTTTTATTTGGAAGTTCTGATTGAGGTGAATGCAAAAATTTGCTTTTCAGTTGCAACTTGTGCCACGTCTGCTTCCTTGACTTGCAAATTCAAATAACTGACACAGAAACAAACTCTGCCAACTTTCTGACAGGGGAGACCCTTCCCGCCCGCTCCAGCATGGGCATTCTCACCTACCCATTTATAGCCAAAATCCCAGTTAAGGATGAAGAAGAAATGAGGCATACCACAGCCTCCAAACATAGACTGGCATGCCATACTGTGGTTAAAGGGCTCAATACAGCCTTTTTCATAGGAACTTCAATGAATCATTACTAAACAGCAGCAGTCAGGTTCTTCTACCTAATCTGAGATGGCACTTTCAGGAGCACAATGTCATTTAACCTCTGGGCCCCCAGCCTGCAATAAAGGGAAACTGCTTCAAGTCTTATCTCCCTGTGCCTTCCACTGACGTCATCACCATCATTGCAAAAAGTGTAGCTGTTTTAAGAGACTTTGAGTAGATTTTGACATATGATAGGAATTTGTTGAAGAGTAGTGCTCACACTACTACAGTAGTGCTCACTGTAGAGCAAAAGAAACCAGAGTAGGAGCACTGCTTACCTCTTCTCCACTGTATTGCTTCAAACAGTGCAAAAATCGGCAGGTGTTAGAGAGCCAGAAGGACACTGTTTCAAAGTCATCACCTCTTTTCTGAAGATAAAAACAAACACATTTCAACAAAGACTGGTAGGAGCAATAAAACAGTAAAATGTTAGGTAAACAATTAAAATCTACTTAGCTACTCAGATTCTGATGTTTTGCAAAACTTTGTGTATTTCAGTAACATATTTGAGTAGCAAGGCTTTCTGTAATGTTTTTCAAAAACTTTCAAAGTATGATTTCTCCCACAGATACGATCTTTCTGTGTTCTACAGAGCCATCCTAACTGCTCTGTGCAGAAACTACAGGGCAATGTGACCATATTCCCCGAACACTCATTCTGTGGCACAGTGACACTTGCAAAGAGCCCAAGGCAGAGGGTGTGAATGATGCAGAGCCAGCAGGGGGAGCAGAGAACAATTCAGTTTGCATCAGTGTCACATCATAACCATTTTGGCAGCCTGATATGGAAAACAAATAAAACAAAAAGCCCTCCTCACCAAAGAACACAGAATCTAGTATATGCTGAGTAATTAAAATTTCTAGAGCTCGGTAGCATGCACTTCACTCACTTAAATGTGTCCAAAAGTTTCTATAAATATCTAAGTTTCTACTGGATTGTTTACTAAACATTTTTCCAAAACGTTTGGCTTGATTAAATTCTTGGATTTTGAGCACATCAGCTTTATTTAAAAGCTATAAAACTCCATGAAGCATATTTATGTCTCAATACTGCTTTCAAGATCCCCCTGGAGTAAACTCTCCTAGCCAACTCATTGCAAAGACTTTAGGCAGTAGCGTATTATCATCAATGTGATCTGTAGGTGAAGCAAATGAGGAAATCGGTGAACCAAAACTGCAAATGAAATGTTTTAATTAAATATTCTGGATTAAAAAGACTCACTATCACTTTGGATGCAAACTGCATCCAAAGCTTTACAGGCACAGCTTCAGAGAAGAAAGTCTATTCAAAATAAAAAGAAGGTAGTTCTTTTTCCACTAATTCCAACCATCTGTGGCATTATGTGGATAAAATGCTATCACTATGATTTGCTGCTTGTTAACAACTTTTTGTAGCTTTGGTGGGAGGACTTTACTGATCAGAAATCCGGAGCCAATTCACTGGAAGTCTTTTCCTCACTCCTCTAACATAAAATCAAAAGCAAATTTTTAATTAATGTTTTACTAAACCAAGCAGACTAACTGACCTTCAACACTTTTTTGATGCCGTTGATAGTGGAAGTCAACAACGACCGCACTTTTTGGTCATCATTAAGGTAATCCGCATGACGTACACACATGAACAAAATATATGCTGGTAGTCCTGGAATCAGGTTGACAGCTACTCCACGTGGTTTCAGCTCTTGGGAAAAACAAACACACATTGTTTTGTTAAGAATAAAGCCATTGGAAGGTGTTATATGTGGTAATGGCAACCTCCCCAAGTTAGTTGTACATACATATCTATATATAGCCAGTAAAAACTAAAAGCAAAACTCAGATGAGCCACTTTCTTGGTAAAACATCAGAACAGAATAAAACATAACTGCCCACTAAAAAAATACACAGACACATTAATATGTACTGTACTAATCAAGAAGGATTATTAGATTACAATAGACATTTCAGAATTTTAGATAAACTGAACACTGTCAAAACCAAAATCAGCTATCTGTTTCCTAATGCAAATTCTGTGTTCTTATCATTCATTTTTTAGAGTGTGTGGGAGCAGAGGAGGCTGCAAGTGAGAAAGATGCTTACCTAAAATAAGATTCTTCACAAGTTTTTGTTCATCCTCCTTCTTATATTCTAACATCCCTTGGAAGTCTTTTTCTTTCCGTGGAATGTTAACTGGACGAATAGGTTCATCAATGATTTGTCCAGGTGATATGTTCTCCATCTGGCCCACTTCAGAGGGGAAATGAAAAGAAGTTCAGAATGGGGAAAAAAGAGAAAACCTTGACAGCGTGCAAGGTCTGACGGCAGCAGCCAAAACACCAGTGTGTTAGCGACATTGTTTTAACCACAAATCCAAAACACAGCATCACAAGGCTGCTATGAAGGAAGTTAAGTCCATCCCAGCCAGACCTACTACAGCTTTCTAAGTTAATTAGGTCATAAACACAGACTAAAGGATGTTTTCAGAAACATTTTCCAACTCCATATTGCGTATGAATACTCCTGTGATCTTCTCTACAGTCGTAACCAAAGAATATTGAAAGACTTTTTAAAAACAAACTTAGTTTGAGTAACCTTTCAAAAGAATGTATGAAATATCCAGCTTGTTGCATACAGTGCCTCACGGTATCACGTTCAGCACCTGCACTCCCCCTGATGAGGCTGCTTCTTTGTTTTTGAAAAGCAGAACTGGCTTCACCTTGTAAAAGCCGCATCCTCATCTCACAGCCCTCCTAGCAGCGTGCAATCACAAGCTATTGTGCATCCTCTAAGTGTGCTAAACGTGTGTCCCTGTCAAAAGGGATAGAAAATGCAGACACCCAAACTGGAGCTCAAGGAGAGCTGCCACTAACTAAAGGATAATATATTCCTGTTAATCAAGTTTAAATCGGTATCACTGTTCTTCTCAAACACTGAAACACTGAAGATTATGCAGTCACTGATATTAATCTTGGTACTCAATAAAACAACTTATTAGGCAGTAAGCTTGTTTCTGGAAAAAGCAAATGACTATAAAAAGCTTCTGAGAGGTTAGGACGAGGATTATTTAAAAACAAATTAATACTTCAACTTTATTAATTGCTTTTAGCAAATAAAATTACTTTACTTATGCAGAGACATAATAAGCTCTCAGTCTCACCAGTCCTAAGATCCTAAAGGAACTCACTCTGATGCTCATAAAAATAAAATTAGCTTAGTCCATATCTCTGCATTCTCATATTCAAGTTTGGCCAGCAGCTCTGAAAGGAAACCTCAAGCAGAGAAAGACAGTCTCAGCATTCTTGGCTCCAGTGATATAGAAATTCACAAAGGAAAACTAGGTAAATTATTTCTGCCTGATTCATATTTAGTATTGCTTTTGTCTTCACAAAAACAGATACTGTCTTTGAGTACACAAACAGCCCAGGTAACATTCCTTTATGTTCAAATGGTTTCAGCCTTCAGAGAAACATCAATCTCCTTTACTCTGGCTTCAAAATACAACAAATCTTTTAAAGGTTTAGAAAGGAACACACAGGGCTCTGAGCGTACCTCCTGCTTCTGGAATCAATTAACAGAGGCTAATGCTACTGAAGACTTCAGGCCTTCCTGACCACTAAGACAGATGGATATGACAACGATGGGATCACAAAACATAAACCAATATCTCTCTTTGTCTCAAGATATGAAAGTACCTTCAAGTTCACCGATCTTCTTAGCAAATACTTTCAACTGTTTCTTTAACTTGCGAACAGTTTTGTCTTGCTTTTCAAGCTGCTCCATTAAATCCTGTAAATTAAAGTGAGGGAAAAATTAAGATATGAGAAAAATCCCATAACGTGACAGAGACAAAATCAGTGCTGTTAGAATTACAAGGCGGTGAGGAAAGCTGAACAGTGGTGCCATCCTCTGGCTGCGGTTTGCAAGCTGGTACACTGCCTATAACACAAGCCAAATATCACAAATATTATTAAGTTATGTGCAGCATGACAAAGGCAAAGCTCTTAGGCAGGTATATTCTGCAGACACTCAGAACTAGGTCAGTTCTTACAGCAGAAGACATTTTGCTGAAAACACATCTCCCTAATGCTTCCTCCCTGCTCTTCCAAATGCCTCACAGAAATAATTTTCTTTATTATTTAACAGCGAGCCTGTATTTCTGCATCATTTATTCATGCCTTCAGGACTGACTCGTTATTCAGACCCATCCATTTTATAAGACCATAAGAGAGAGATCTGCAGAAACTTGCACTCAAATTTACCAAAATCAAACATCCAAACACACAAACTTTCTTGTGATGCTCTGCCATTTCCCTGTGGTCGCTGTGATCACATTTCCTTAGCCCGAAACTGGGGTCCTACCTCTTTTTATTCTGTTAACTGAACAACACCCAGCACCCAGAAGTCCCACTCTTGCAATAAACCTGTATTTTTCTTTCAAAGGAGCACTCCCCAGAAATCTATCCTGGAATAATTCTGTGATCTATGGTAGTGCATTCACAAAATAATCTTGTAATCAAAACAGGGGAAGTCTTTCTAAAAGAAGCAAAAAACTCAAGCTGAAAAAACCTGAAAACCGTTTCAGCTGAAGCGTTTGAAAGCAGCTGTAAAGAATACTGCCCTTTTGTAAGCCTGACTCTTCGTGGCACTGGTAAGAACATAAGGGACCACGAGCTCCTTGCACCAAAAGAATCATCTGGGCAACTACACCTCTCCTAAAATATTGCAGCATTGGCAATAACTTAGCATTAGACACAAAATTGCTCTTAATTACATAGTAAAGAATTTACAACCTAATATAATATACTTGAGCAGTAAGATAATTAGGCCTGTTGAAAGAATAGAATCAAGGCCATGCTTCACATTCAAAACAGTGTTCACTTTTACAACAGAAATCCTGTTAATAACACAATACGCTTATTGTCAGATACAACAATTTCTCCTGAAATTAATAAAAAAAACACATGTAAGTCCAACAGACTGTTTTGAGTGTATCAGTGGAGGGATGTGATTTCTGAACAAGTATGTAAGGAGGAACAAAGCTCCTTCTATGGCTCCTCTAAATAAATTAAGCAGATTTCACATCTCATTAAGATTTGGAATCTCATAAATTATATACTTTCAAGCTTCTGTATGGCGCCATCTCAATTAGTTATTTTTGATGATAATGGAAGTATTATTTCCAATTTTATCCTTCATATTTTGCATTTTTGAAAAACATTTTAAAAGTTATGTCTTTTGATTCTGATAGTTTTCTTCATTCCAGATGTCAGCACTGTAAAGAGATGTATGAACAAGTTCAGGCTATGACTGGATTGCAGCCATTATTCACCTCGGTAAGTATCCGTACGATCAGGCCTCTTATTTTGCTGATCTGATTTTAAATATATCAAAGTTTTAAAGCAAAGAGTGGTTCTGAAAATTGAGCACCTTTTGCATCATGTACCTATTTTTCAGGGCAGTATTAAGAAGTGTTCAAAAAGAAACTGCTTTGCTTACAGTGCAAGGCTTATATTAGTAGCAAAACTGTGCATCCAAAAGAGACACAGATGACACAGAGGACACTAAGACTAACAAAAAAAGCAGTGAGGGAAGTAATTGGCATCGTGAAGCTCTCTGCAGGGATTTCCTTTGAAAGGGAGAAAGGGAGGCAGCCTGCTTTTCAATTAGTGCTCCAGAAATAGCGAACGAGACAACAGAGAAACAGGATTCACGTGATCTACATACAATCATCCGTTTGTAAAGTGAAATCCGGTACGATTGATACTTCTTGGGATCATCTGCATACAACTCCTCATAAAACTGTAAAAATAGGTACAGGATTGTTTTTCCCCCTTCCTTTGAGACACTGACACTTCAATAAGCACTATATAAATTAAATCAGATTAAAACAAGATCAAGAATCTTTAACTTTTAGGCAGTCTGGTCCTTAGTTGTGGTGTTCACACCAGTCTCTCCCAGAGAGAAGCTGATGTAGATGAGCTGCAGAACAGTCAGATCTTTTGAAAATGGGCAGACTAATACCATGAAAGTTTGAAATACAACCTTTGTGAGAACCTGGACAGGACATTTTCTTACGCTAATCAAGATGGGATTGCAGTGAATACTGCAATTCTAATATTGCATCTGGAAAGCCTATAAATTGTTTCCACTCTAGGGCCAGGAGTGGAAAAGAAACACGTATCTGACTTGGAGGGGACTTGCAATACTCAAACATCAGAAGTGAAATACTAAGGAATGAGTCTATATTTAACAAGTAAAATTACATCCATTGTATTTGAAAATAAAGAGAACTCCTCTGGGATGTAATTACATGACTGTGTGTTGTCTTGGGAACACAGAATGTGATGAGTAGGTCTCTTGGGGGGAAAAAATGGCTAAAAATCATAACATATGACTAAGCAGCAGGAGGGAGCTGTCAGAGACGGAAACATTCACCCTTTACCTTTGCCAGTGGAAGACAGCTTCTGCTGAGCCACACTTATATTTTCAGTTTTCCAACATCTATTCTCTGAATTATCTAATGCTTTCCTCAAAACCTTTGGTACTAAGACAAGAGCCTGACAATGGACACTAAGACTAACAAAAAAAGCATTGAGGGAAGAAATTGGCATCCTGAAGCTCTCTGCAGGGATTTCCTTTGAAAGGGAGAAAGGGAGGCAGCCTGCTTTTCAATTAGTGCTCCAGAAATAGCGAACGAGACAACAGAGAAACAGGATTCACGTGATCTACATACAATCATCCGTTTGTAAAGTGAAATCCGGTACGATTGATACTTCTTGGGATCATCTGCATACAACTCCTCATAAAACTGTAAAAATAGGTACAGGATTGTTTTTCCCCCTTCCTTTGAGACACTGACACTTCAATAAGCACTATATAAATTAAATCAGATTAAAACAAGATCAAGAATCTTTAACTTTTAGGCAGTCTGGTCCTTAGTTGTGGTGTTCACACCAGTCTCTCCCAGAGAGAAGCTGATGTAGATGAGCTGCAGAACAGTCAGATCTTTTGAAAATGGGCAGACTAATACCATGAAAGTTTGAAATACAACCTTTGTGAGAACCTGGACAGGACATTTTCTTACGCTAATCAAGATGGGATTGCAGTGAATACTGCAATTCTAATATTGCATCTGGAAAGCCTATAAATTGTTTCCACTCTAGGGCCAGGAGTGGAAAAGAAACACGTATCTGACTTGGAGGGGACTTGCAATACTCAAACATCAGAAGTGAAATACTAAGGAATGAGTCTATATTTAACAAGTAAAATTACATCCATTGTATTTGAAAATAAAGAGAACTCCTCTGGGATGTAATTACATGACTGTGTGTTGTCTTGGGAACACAGAATGTGATGAGTAGGTCTCTTGGGGGGAAAAAATGGCTAAAAATCATAACATATGACTAAGCAGCAGGAGGGAGCTGTCAGAGACGGAAACATTCACCCTTTACCTTTGCCAGTGGGAGACAGCTTCTGCTGAGCCACACTTATATTTTCAGTTTTCCAACATCTATTCTCTGAATTATCTAATGCTTTCCTCAAAACCTTTGGTACTAAGACAAGAGCCTGACAATGGTAAATTCTATAACTTACACAAGCAGGAAAAACTACGCCTTGGCTTGTTTGGAGGAAGCAATGACACTCAAAGCTGGGATCTTCCCTCCTGAAGCAGCACGGGTCCCTTTACCAGTAATCAGCAATAATCCAATGATATTCCAACATGGGCCTCTCTGGAAAATTTCTCCAGAAACAAAACAAGCCTGCACATGATGGACATACTCCTTCACGGGGAAAGGTAAGAAGTTCCACCCATCTTTCCTTCATACAAAAATGTGCCCTAAACAAGGAATACCAATTTCTGGCAGAGTGACTTCTAACTAAGTTTCTTTTTCTGGAACTATTTCTTTCTTCCAAACGTACCGAAGAGCTGGAGCTCAAACACAGTGGGTTACCTGTGTAGCTTCAGGCAGGGAGCCGGGAAATGGGAAGAAAAGTGACATTAAATAACTGAAGAACTACACCAGAGCTTTTCAACAAAATAAACAAACTAATATGTTATACAGGAAACAACACTACTTGACACAAATATTTTTTATGAGTTCCCTGGATACCAATCATTATATTTTGATGATTAAACTCATCAGTTGAAAGCTGGGATCCACGAGCTTTCTCCATGCCACAAACTTCCAACAAACTCCCTGAAACATTATTACTTCATCAGCAATTACAAGCCTCTCTCTCCCAGTAGCTTATCTACAGGAAAAATACCGCGCTGATGCAACTTTTTGCAGGAGGTTGTCATCTGAAATCTGCTAAGACCTTTCAGGGGCAGTGAGTGTGCAGGTGCCCGTGCCTGCTGCTGCAGCAGGGTTTCCCTTACCAAGTTCTCATTCGTCAGCCGGGTGATCTCATGCTGGAGACTGGCTTCGATGCGGGCCTCTGGAGGCAGCTGCAGGTTCTGTGCCAGGAGCTGCTGCTGGCGATTGTTTTCTTCCTTCAGACCTTGGATCTCACCTCGCAGCGATTCCAGCTCGTTCTCGTGGCTCTTCTTCTGTGACTGAAGCTGAGACTCCAGCAGCCTAAAGAAGTCGAGCAACAGTTGTGTGAACACACTTAGAAAGTTACATCCCCAATTCTCAGAGGGAGTGTAAAGCTTTAGCTGCTGCTCAGGAACAATTAGCCATGGCTTGCAAAGGAAAATGAAAAAGGCAGAGTACTCTTTAAACCCTTCAGTATGCCTTCTAATTAAATTAAGCTTGCATGATCAAAAAGTGGAGAGAAACTAATTGTGACACTGCTTTGCATTTCCTTTGTGATTGAACACATACTGTGTATGGTGCCACTGAGGACATGTGGCAATAAATGCATTGCTAGGTCTTTGCAGATTGTCACTGCTTTTAAAGGGGCTTTGAAGAGGTTTTACCTCCAACCAAATCAAACAAGCTGTGTAAGATGAAGTGAACTGTGTTTGCTTAAACTAGGACCCTGCAATATTAACGAAGGAAACTCTTCTTATAGTTAACTCTGTTCATCAGAAACCATTTAATTGCAAATGCACATAAATCATCCTCATTTTTACATTAAAAGCAACATTTTGCGGAGGGTTGTCATTAGTGCAGGAAAGGTTAACCACGGAACCAAACTGAGGACTGGGATCCGGGAGCAGTATTTTATCCTCACCACTGACTGGCTCTTTCCCCTGGGGCACACCGTGTCTTAAATTCTTCTCCTGTGAGATGGGGATACCACGTACCCAGCTCCTTCCCAGCAGCGCTGTGGGGATCTACTCCTGCTTGCAAGGCACTCTCCAGGTGCTCTGACTCACCCTTCCGTACGGACATACACAGGAAATGACATGACTAGTGACTACCAGTGCTCAATTAGACAATCTTTCAGGGTTTAAATATGCATAAGGCAGGCACATTTATTAGTAACTAGACTGATCAAGCACGCAAGGGCAAATAGTCATTTCCCTGCATTGCTCTGCCATTTAATACAAAGCTCCTTGTCTCTACAAGGCTAGGACAAGAAGCAAGAGGTGCAGAGCAAACACCCTCACATCCTGCTCTGCAGAAAGAACACTTGCTCTCAGTTAGAATTTCGCAGGCTCACGCAATGGTGTTAAGTGTAGAATTTGTTAGCACAGGAAAAGGAAAGACTTGAGTTAGTAGCATTCATTGCAAAATACCTCCTTCTGTAGCTACTGCTACCAAATGTGTAAACTGAAGATGAGCACTCCTATCTATTGTATTAGTTGCCAGTGGAGGACTAGGAACCATTTTGGAAGTCTGGGCTGCAGGTACGGATACGGGCCCCAGACGTGCAGAATAGATGCCCAGAAGGGCATTTCCTAACTGGGTGACTCTCGCCCACTACAAGACCAGCAGGCAGTTGGTACAGAGAGTGCAGGGATTGTGCTGGGGCTTGAGCAGCACCACGATGAACTCAGCATTACTTCTGTTTGTTGGTTATTGTGTGTCTTACAGTTTGAATCTGGCACAGAGAGACGTGGGAGGAGAATGTCCAATTTACCGAGTTTGTCGCAACAAGGAGAGTAAGACCCCTCACTATTTGAGAGTTAAGAGTATGCTGAAGCTATTCAAACAATAGTTTTATCATTACTAAAATGACTGTACGTTTTTAGGCTGAGAAACTTAAGGGACATTCATTTTGATATTCAGCATAAAGGCAGACAAAAGATGCATGGCTACAAATCTTTTCTAGTTGTGGAGCTTCTGGTATTTTACTGTCTATTCTTGTACAATTCTTATAAATTATGTATTAGCTGTTGCTGCCATCCTGACTTTTTAAATCATATAACTTGACAAGTAGAAAGGTTTGGGGACTAAGTCTGAGGAACCTCTTTAATTTGTATAATTTGTGATGATTTTTTTTCTAACTGTTAAAGCCACAGAAATACTGTAGATGAAGCAAACCCATAGCAAGGGGCACAGTGAGCTAGAAAAGAAGATGCATATTAAGAAAAAAAAAAACCCCAAAAACATTCTGAGAAGTCTGGTAACCTGTTGGCTTGTTTTAACCCTTCATAAACCAGCCAAAGTTCTCCGTCCTCATTCAGCATATGATAGTCCTGGGGAGATTGCCTTTCAAGAAAAGTGTTTAAAAAAAAATACAAGAGAGATACGTGATGGTGATGAGATGACATGTTAAGGACATTACACACTAAATTACAGTTACTATAAAAGAGAAACAAGCAATGCTCTAAAACAACTTAGCAAATTACTTCTCTTGTTTAGAAGTATTTCTTCTTAATGACGAAATTCAGTTCTCGGTGCTAGCCCAACTCTTACAGCATTTCATGCTGTTGCAATAAATGTATTTTGACAGGTACTGAACAAAAGGTAAAAAACACAGGATGGGGAATGGCACTCAGTTTGAGTAATGCAGCAATTAAAGGCTAAGAAGGTGTAAATGCAGGAAACTTGACTTTGCATTTCCCCATTGTTTCTTAATTCTTTAAAATATCGCACACAGCGATTTTACTAATCAAATCAAATTACAACCTCAGCTACAAGTGCTCTCTAAGTATCTAGACTTACATGGACACAACTTACTGAGTAGGACATACACAGTGTCACAGCAGACCCCAACTGACCGTAGATTAAAGAAAGAGAGCTGGTACCTGTTTGTTTCCTTCAGTCCAATATACGCCTGTGCTATTTCTCCTTTGTCTTTCATCTTTTGTACATCCTCCAAGAGGATTGTAGCATCTGTCATGGTATTCTGGAAGAAGAATGATGATTTCCAGGGTAAATTTAACAATGCAGTTGTTGTTTGAATCCATGTTTTTGTCAGTTTACCCCACGGAACACTAGTACTTGAGCAGCCACATGAAAATTTCTGTGGGTACCTAAGCAGGAGGTTGTTCTGTAATTTCGATGCCCATTTGGTGTATCTTTTAAAATTTTTGAACATTTACTCTGGCACTGTTGTAAAACTCGAAATACTTAACATATGTTTACAGTCAGCTCGGCTAGCCTGATCTGAGTCACTGCTGTGGATAATTACAGTGGAACCATAGGACTCTAATGAACATAAGAAATGGAATTCTGACTTTTCTTTTTGAGTTTCAAAACAATCAAATGCTCTTTCCCTGAGTAAAACTTTGCAAAGTATTTACAATAACAACTTTGTGAACATAAATTTTGCAGCCTAGGCCTCTATGTCTAGTCTGATTTGTGTTACCCAATATGAAAACCAATAAAATATACAAGCTCCTCAAAGAACTATTCCAAACATCCTTACGAGATCTTTGTGATTTTTCTAGTATTACTTTATTATACAGTAAGAGTGCTGTATCTCACCTGCCAATCTATTAAGCTTTAGCAGTCTGAACATATTTATTATTTTTGTGCTGATGGAAAGAAATGCTAATTACTGTTATATCTTCAAGAATACCCTACCTGCTCTAGTTGTAACATTTTAATTAACAGCCTTTGTTTAGAGTCAGCTCAGTCTTTTATACTTCAAAATACTATGTGTTAAACTACATTTTCTAATCAAACATTTAGCAATTCCTACCTAATACCTACAGATCACAACATGAGTCCTGAATGTTTGTTGCATGACAAGGGTAACAAACACGATAAAGTAAGGTAGTTCTTCATACCAGACTTTTTTTTTTGGTGAAATTTATGGATTTTACACGTTAACAGAGATCTGATTCCTGAGTCACAGTGCTGCTCTGGCTCTTCTAACACACGCTGCAAGATACATTGATTGAGCTACACCAATTTCTGAATCTTTCCTTTCATTTTCATGTTATCATAAACCAACAGTTCAAAATTATTAAATCTGCTTGTTTTGAAGTAACTTGTCCCCTCGCATGGAGCAGGAAGATGAGGATGGAGGGAACACAGGATAATGAGAAAGGTTCTCCAATAACAGCAAAGTACCGTGCAACAACAAATTCAAATACACATACGTTACTTATGAGAGGCAGGGAAATGGCAGCTCAAGTATTGTTGAGGGGTTTTTTATCATTTAAGAGTTCTGGTTTATAACTGTAGAAGAAAATGTGTACCTTATCCTCCTGGCAATCAAATTGGTAGGCAAGAAAGAAGAAAAACAAATCATTAAAAATAAAATCTGTCTGTGCTGCAGCTGTTCAACCTACCAAGCAGAAGCTATCTGCAAACTGGCTGACAGCCATCCCACAGGTCACCTTCATATTTCCCTCATACTCAAGCTGCTGTAAAAACAACACTTGTCTCCCACCATTGCTGAAAATAAGTTATTCAATGATTTACTATTCAACTATTTATTCACAATGTTCGAAATACTGCAGAAAAACGAGTTTTGTTTTCTTTATAATTAATCATTTTAAGCAAGATATGTACACCTTCATGCATCACAGAGTTTCAATTTATTTAGGACAAATATAGACACAACTTCGCAGCAGCAAAGGAAAGATGACATATCTGTTTATTCCTTGCCATGGTTATGAAACACTGGATAGCTCAGTTCAATGGAAATTGAACTGGGTTTACATGATACTTTTTCTGGTTGAATGACTCTTATTTTCAAAGCTATTCCTTCCCTAAGTATCTCATCAGAATTAGAGCTTTTTAGAAGATATGCATTTAAGTGGTTGTGATCTACTCTTCTCAACAAAACCACATAGCATCTATTAGGCAATAATATGGAATTTACATATCTTCATAGCTCACCTTTATGAAATGTTATTTATTTGCAATCATCTATGATACTGCCTAGATTTAGAAGGAATTGTTCCTTGTACCTCCTACTGAACTATTAATTAAAAAGAATTCCTGAGAACTATTGTAATTTTTCCAGTCTAACTACATACTCACTAGAGAAATGATACTGCTCCGAAAAAGAATTACTTCTGCATTGTTAAAGGAGTCTGGGAAGATCCTGGACAGACCATTGGTATCTGCCAGCCCGGTGTGACCAGTATGATATCTTTACATAAATGCTGGTGGACAAACCCAAAATAGTTTATTAATAGAATCTCCCAATTTGGACTGTTGCAATTTGTGCACTAACAATGGATCAATGGATTACAGTTGGAAAAACTTTCAAACCTAGACTATTTTACTCTGCCTTTTCAAGCACGCTGTTAAATTAAATAAAGCATGTGAGTTATGCAATGTAACTTTATTACCTGGTGCATCTGCTGACTACTATTTACCTTGGGTTGAATAGCCTCTTTCTGGCTAACCAGCTGAGACCTCAGGATGAGGACTTCTTCCTTGCGTACTTCGAGCTCTTCACTGACTGACGTCAGCTGATCCAGGAGGACTCTGTACGCAGGGGCACCAGGAGCAGTTACCTCTGGAGATCGTGTTTCTGTGAGGGCCTTCTGCAGCTCATTCAACTCATTCTTCAGCTTTTTATTCTCAGATTCAAGTTCTTGGCGCTGAAAGAAATAGGGACAATTCCGTCACCGAGCAGAATTCCAACATGCCTACAAACCACAGGCACAAAACTATGATAGAAATGGTAAAAACTATGAGTAACTGCAAGAAGTCAATCAGTCTCTCCCATGTCCCTGGCCTCTTGACTACAGTGAATAGTGCCTGCCAGTATTTCATTAACAGGCCCAATCTTTTGTCTGGGGTGCTAAATCAGAACACATATACATGAGTCAGATTTGATGGGGAAAAAAAACCCCAATCTTTTTTTCCTGTTATTCTCCCCTTAACAAATAAAAATGAAGTTCACAATGAATACTGGTCAGCAGGCTAAGAAGATTCTGCATCATTCAGTGATAGCAGGAAATGCTTTTACTTTTAGTGGTCTAAGGTATGTATTAATTTACATCATGTGTTTGGAAAAGAGGGCTACATTTATCACCGTATTTTTGCTCAAATTAACTTGCAAGAAGTACTAAGTGTTTCAACAGACAACTCCCCTGTTTTCAAGGATCTTTTTGTTTTGCAGCCCCAGCCACACATTCTTAAAAAGGACAATCTTACAATAAAATGATTGCTGGAAAATGATTGCTGGAAAATTTTTGTTGTAGTTTCTCCAGCTAGAATTCTGAAAATGGAGAGCTAATGTAATTTTCTATGCCAGCACATACAATTGGTGGCAATAGTCTCACTAGAACATAACAGAATCTCATTTTTAGAATTACCTTGAGTGACTCGTACTCCAACTCAGCACCTCTCATTGGAGGCCTTTCTTCCTCCTATGAAAGAATACAGACAAGCATGAAAAATAAAAATCAAATCCTCTCTATTCTTCAATTTAGTTGAGGCAGGAAAAGGAGCTGAAATTAGCTTCCTATAAAACTGGAAAATGCTCATTCTGGTACTGCTGAGTGCTTTACTTTGATTATTGGCATTGTCTCCTTTCATTTACTGACGAATGTATGTCACATAATCACTTAATATAAATAAAATCATGCACAAATCACACTACCATCACTGGTAATGAAACAGAGCAGGATGCTCAAGAAATTCACTGGTGGAACAGTAATAAAAAACAATTGCTAAAAATGGTTTCATATTTTTCTAAGTAGTTAAGGAAACCAAATCAGAGGAGAATTTCAAAGAAAATCTGCTAAAAATGTCTAATCCCAGCACTTTGGCTCTGCATCCTGGTTGAAACACTTCTTATTCTGCCTAAAACGAACAAGTACTCATTCTCCTGATCATTTAAGTAGAATTTCTCTATTGCTATTCCTTAATAAAAATAGCCTTTCTTTCCTCTTTTTTGAGCAAAGTCCCAAGCACTTTTTGTTCCTCTTAACTTCCATCTCAAGGACCTTGGAAAACTAAATGACTGGTTGGACCCTAGTACTGAGCACCAAACATAAAACTTGTCATTAAATCAAGCAAGCACGAGAGGAAGCCAAGGATTTAGTAAAAGGCAGTCAGCATTCACACAGCTACTGTTTCCCAAGAAGAGATAATCTGGCGTCAGCATCTGATCAGCTAGAAGGAGTCCACCTTAGCTTTAGCACGCAGAGCTTGTTCTTCCTTTCTGTCCAGTTCATCCTGCAGGGACTGCTTTTCTTGCTCCAGCTCCGTAACCCGTTTCTGCAGCTTGAGGAACAGAGACATATCCAATGGTGCCTTTTTCTCACTTGGTTCCTGCTTTAGAAAGAGCAGAAGGATGTCAAGAAGCATTCCTCTTCCACATCTCAAAGAAGCACTACAGTGAGTACAGGTGGGAAACTAACTGGGGGAAGAGAGGAACACGGGAACGTTACTCGATTCTGAGAGCTGGCTACCGGCATCTAAAATAGTTCATCAGCTGTCAAATGCTATTTTAAAATAAGGATCTACTAGTATAAAATGTATCTAAGCCTAAAGCCTAGCAAAAGGAAGCACTAAAGACTACCTAGCAAACAGGAGGTCTGTAATTAAGCATACCTTTTATTCTTACTTGTTCAGAGGGGGAAAGGAGAAAAAAAAGTCTGTGGTTAGACTCACCTGGAAAAAACTGTAAATAGAAGCTTTTTTTTTTCAAGTTTTATATTATTTCTACAGTAAGTTCTTCAGCTACAGAGAAATCTCTTTGCTGATTGTACATTTACAGGTTAATTTAGTGGGATAAGACATAAATAGATACTAGAAGTCATATTTTATGTCTTTTTCCTTTTATTATTCTAATTGTACAGCCTGTTCTGGATCTAATCCACTGGCTTTCTCACCATTTTCTGGGCAAAGACCAGCGTTTGTAATCTGAAGGTGCATCAGAAATTGTCCATCAGCCATTTTGTGCTTTATGTAGCAAGAAGATCAAAGCATTTACTATGAAGTGTACCATAAAATTTTGAAGCTTAGGAAAGGAACTAGAAAATTAATATTAATGGCTGTAGCAGACAAGCAAGCACAGCCATTTCCACTTCATCTCCTTTTACTGTTGAGGGAAAGAGTCATAAACCACACCAACAGCTCAGGAAAAAGAAAACAGACTTTGAGTTTTCTGGCTTTACTGGTTTGTATTGAGATGGATCCTATTTTTTAATGTGGTTTTGTATCATTAATCTCTATTGTTAGTCTGGAGTCACACTGGAGTTTGAAATCTTAAGGATTAAACAAATGCAGATTTAATCTCTGCAGTGCTGCATCTATTTACACTCTTGTGAGGATTATTTTTTTTTCATTTATATTCTAAAAACCAAAACTGACCTAGAACAGCAACTTAGCAAGTCTATTAGCCAAAGGAAAAGATGACATTTGGCTCATATGTGAAATCCAATCACATGTAGTTGCCCTGTCCTTTTCCTGATTATCCATGAAGGCAGGAGCATCCTTCTAAAACAATTATCCGAGGTGAAAAATATGTGAGAAGGCAAATTATGAAAAAGTCCACATAGACTGTGTGCCAGCATCATGTGTCAGGATATTTGCACCCACAGTAGAAAGTAATTTTCTGCAGAGGCTTTCAAAAACAGTAACAACAGCCTGTAAAAAGCAACTGTGGAGATAACTACCCCAGACAGAGGGCAAATAGAGTGAGCTGTGCGATGGCTCACAGTTAGAAAGATCTCTAGAACGCACAGAAAAAGCTTTGCATCTGCAAACTGCCAAGGACAGTCAGACCACCCACCTAAGGAGGGCTCTCTGCTGTGTCAGCAGTCCCACTCCTTTGGGAGGGGACAAAGGGGGTGTTTTCTTGCAAAATACTAAGAATGGCTTAGAGTTGCACCACAAATTATTCATTAGCTGAATCAAGAGAGTCACCTTTCAGAAAATTTTAAAATATTATAATGTCAAGGTTTAGGCTGATCTGGCTGCTAAATGAACAACAGATGTTTTCTACTAACCACGCTCCCCTCCCAGAAGGGATCAGAAGGGGAAAGGAGAAAGAAAAAGGGAGAGAGACTTATGGGTTGGAAGAAAACCCCTAAACCAGCTATAATGAAATATTAACAACAAAAAGAAAATATAATAAGAAGAAAATAATCAAATATATACAAAACCAATATCAGGCTCCCAGGATGACGATCACGTCACTGGCAGCACTGGGACTGGACTCAGTGATGGATGGGAACTGGATTCAGGAACACACGGATTGGGATCAAAGGCAGAAGAACTGTCAGAGTCCTCTTCGGATGCCAGCCATTGAAATAAAAAAGGGTGGACTCCTTTGACCCCTCTGTTTTTATACTGAGCGTGATGCAGATGGGATGGAATACCCCATTGGTCAGTTTTGGGTCACCTGCCCTGTCTGATCCTCCCCACAGGTGCGACCCCTCTACGCTCTTCCGCTTCCGACCCTCCAGCTTGGTGCACAACAAAGTGAGCTGCCCTTGGTTGTTATAGCAATAAGTATAAGCAAGAGCCTCTCTGCATACCATCCCTTGGCATGAACTATAAACATCAAACGTTATCACTGCTAGAAGCCAACACTGTCTGGAAAACATACCACTGATTTCAGAGAGTGCAGCAGTTAAAAGAGGCTTAACTGAAAAGTAAAATTACTCAAAAGAAAATTGGTTTTGTTCACTCTCAAACCAGGACATCTATGATTTGTATCACTGCATACGCAACAGGATAGTACTTTCCCCAACAGGGAACACACTCTATGTAGCTACTAAGAATGTGACTAGCCACCTTGCCACTTCTAATCCTTGAATATACAGTATAGAGACTTCTCAGGAAGCCTTACTGGTTTTGTGAATTCCCACTTTCTGCTGAAAAAGTGACTGTGCTTACAAACACCGGTAAGCAAATGTTTTGCAGATGCAAATCAACTGGACAGCCAAGTATTTAGTCTGTGTTTACCGTAATACAGAAGAATTCAAAGCATACTTTCACAGAGTCTTTTTACATAGGGCCACAACTAACTAGGGGATAAGCTGTTTTCAAAAAGGAAATGGAAAAAGTTGAAGATTAGATACCTCGATGTAAGGACATGGTGTTCATAAGCACATATGAAAAAAAAAAGATAGGACTAAGTTCAACCAGTCATCAATGAAAAATTGTGGGGTTTTTTTAACATTACCTCCATCCTCACTGGTAAGTCTTCTGCTTCTGTGATCTCAGAGCTAAAAGTGTATTCAGATTCATTGCTACTGTGAGTTGAATCCGTTCTTTTGTGCCCAGGCTTGGGGATGCTCTGGAGTGCAAATGAAACAAATCAGTACCACTATATGGTTTTCCCTGTGATTGTCTCTTCACAACCTATAATTTAGCTTGTAACATTTGGTGTTATTTCACAGCTATCAAAATTGATAGGAAAAAAAATTTTGATTCTGGTCTCTCATGCCACCTAAAGCCTATGAGATGTAGTTCACAATCAAATCTATGGAGACAGGTCAGATCCTACCCCATCAAGTATTGCTGCAGAAAGCAGAATGAAGCAACAATGCAGCATTTTGTGGGAAAGAAAAGCTTGGTTTACAGGAAGCACCGGCAGCAATTCTCTACCTTCCCAGACATTGTCTTGAGGAATATTTTTTCTTCCTGACACATAAAATATTCCTAGAACTACTAAAAATTTAACACTAGATGAATGTAGTACAACCAACTTTAGCAGATGGCACATGCATTACCACTAGCAAAGTCACAGCAGAAATGTAGCCTTCTTCACAAATGCGAAAATAAAAAAAAAAAAAAAAATCAACCACAAATTTTAAATGCATTTGCTTTTGGCTGAGCTAATCTAATAATCAATATTTAAAAGGACAAATTCTCTTTTCAGGTACAGGTCACCACCACACAATTGACAGCAGAGTCAGTTACTAACTTATACCGCTAGATTCTGCCTGAACACATTTGTGAACAGCTGTTGATTTCTCAGATGTTTAGCCACTTACCACCATTAAGTTCATTTCATCCTTGAGATCATCATACCGCTCCTCTAAACGGCTGAACTCATTCAGCAGGTTCTGGTACCGTAACCGTTCATCATTCAGATCTAGCTCTAGCTGCTTGGTTTCCTCCACTAGCTTCTTCTCCATCGTCTCTGCCATGGAGAACAGGAATCCAAAGTTAGAACTCCAGTTCTACCTACCATGCAGTGCATCCATCCTGGAGGTACAGGCACGTGTCTGCCCCAGGAACACAGACAGTGAAACAGCCTGCTGTCCGAAGCTGGTGTGCGGTATTTGTGCTTCTGTAGGCAAACGTTAAGCCAAATACACGAAGGACTAAAGCATTATTGTGGTAACCACAGAAGGGTTCACTCGGTCAAATTAGTTATTCTGCTAATACCTTGTATTAGTAATTCCAGGAGGGAGGAAGAAGGGGCAGTGATGCTCTATGTGAAAAGCAAAATACGAGATGCTTTATGCTTCAAGATCACTGACCCTCCTCATTGCAGCTGCCTCCACCACAGCCTTCAAATCTAGAGTTATGCTCTTCTGGCTGCTGTCTGTGTAGTCACAGCAGCCAGAAGAGCCACAGTACAGTAATTGTATTAAATATCAGAGCCTTCGTTTTAAAAGTAAAATGCTCTGTAACAGTCACCCTCACCAAAAAGACCCCAAGACTTTAGGACTTCATGGAAACTCAAACAGTAAATAATTCCAATGCATGAGAGTTCTTAAAACAAAGAAATGAAACCATTAAACAAAAAGGAATGCAAACTAAGGCAAATTAGCCCAGTCTATGCAGTAGAGTGTTGCTTTACAAGGTAACATGAAGTAGAAAACCTGAGTGGGGAGAACAGAGCCAACCTGTTATTTCCTTTGCCTGGTCATGGATGCGACGGTTCAGCTCCTCCTTCTCTGTTTTCAGTAACGTGTTCTGCTCTTTCAGCTCTGAAACCAGCTACAGAGATAATAAAATATTGGACTCAGAATGCAGTTCATCTTTCATCAGTAGCTCTTACAGCAACCACATCCTTGCTGTAAGAGTTCAAATACTTAAACTTTGCCTCAGAGAATGAAATCAGTGAACTAAGTTATGAGATCTTCATTTCCCAAATTACACATCTTAAATATGTCCCACTGCAGACTCCCCTGTACGTTCTGCACTCCATTTCTGATCAGATGCCAAAACCGCCTTAAACCTCTCCACTGCACCACAATATTTTTCAGTAAAAGTCACAAAGATGTAATTTTTTACTTAAAACAGAAATATACATAAAATAGGAAAAAAATTGGTAGTTGTGCTGTATATTCTATTGCATTGGGATAATGTAACATCTTGCCTCTGCCCAAAAGTTGGGCCACTCCAGGTGCCCAGGTTTGCCAGTTACTCATTTGTCTCTGATTATGGTGACTATGCATTTCTTTTACTCAAATAATTAATATTTTTCCTTATGCTTATCTGATATTGAAATGTATCCCTGCAGCATCACTTAATGATGGAATAGCTCTTGAAAATTTGAAACTTGCACCGTTTTCTGCAAGTAATCTTGACAGGAAACAACCTGTTTGATATGTTCATGGTTAAAGCAAAGATAAGGGGTTAGTCAAAACCTGTTGAACTAGACTGTGCACACACATGTGTTCCGTAGGGTAACTGTTTAAGGTAGGATATAAGCAGGTGCCTTGGAATGCTGCGTGTGGGACAGATTTCTGATATCTATGTGATTACACTCTCTAGATAGGTAAAATGATTTCTTTTTATGAATATGCTACCTCTGACTAATTGAGGAAGCTTAGGTATCTGGATTTGCAAATACTTTCAATATTGAAATCTGAATAGACTGAATACATACATTTACAGACAATGCATAGATTTAGTATATTCTTCAAGTGCAGGTGTAGTTATTTAGGTATCAAGCCTATTTAGGATTGTACAAGTGTAACACTGCTTAAAAATACTGTAAACTATCAGCCACACAACTGAAGCACTTAAGCCAGGGCAAAACTGAGACTGCACACTTGCCTGTTCGGTTTCATGTTTGTATTTGTCTGCCCGTTCCTCAATGGTCTTCTTCTCAGTCTGAGTTTGGTGCAGCTCCTTCCGGAGCTTGGCAATCTCCTCCTGCAGGCTGAGGACACGGTTGGTCGCGTTCTTAGCCTCCTCCTCACTCATCCGAAGCCTCTCCACGTCACTCCGCAGCTTCTCTGTCTCTGTACTGTACGTGATCTCCAGGTTGCTCAGCTTCTCCAGCAGAGATTTGTACTCTTTGTTCTTTGCAAAACACAACACACACAGAGCAGCTGTTGGAGAAGTTCTCATTTAAGGGAGCCTTCTAGTTCCCTACAGAATATACCAGATATGGGAGCAAAAGAGTAGCTTCCCCATTTCCAAAAAGTTTTAGTCTGTTTTTATAGAACTGCTTAACGAGGTGCCAGAACAGTCCAGTCTCTAAGCCTGCACATTAACATCCCAAACTAAAATCAGACAGGGAGCCCACATGCATCAAACATGATCACCTTGCCTTCCCCTTTTAAACAGAGCAACTGACGTATTCAAATGAATTGACACTTCAAATGAGATACTGACACTAAGGGAGTGGGTATTTTCTCTCAGTGCTGCTGAGAGACACAAACGGATGCTTTACTGTTCCAGTTCTACTGTGGTCTCCCATTTTCTTCTATCAATGCTCTTCAACAGAAAAGAGAACTGATACCTTACAATGAAAATTCAGCGCATGTTTCCAAGAATGCCTGCAGTGCTACTGAGAAAGGTAATACAGGATTTCTACATATTTTCCCTGAGGCCAGGGAGCTTTTACCTGCTCATCAATTTTTCGCTGCAGCTGCATGATCTTGTTCTCTAAGCCAATGTGAAGCTTCTTGTAGCGTTCTACAGACCGGGCCTCTATCTTCAGTTTCTTCAGCTCCCTTTTGGCCATCATGCGCCGGTAACAGCATTGCAAGTAAACAATTGCCTTCAAGGTCCTACGGTAGTGCACTCGGGCCAGCCAGCCTCTTATATGTTTCTGAATAATGATAGACTTGTGCTCCCGAAGCATCTACAGTTAAGAAGAAACACCACAAGGGGTATTAGAGCTGCAAACTACACCTGCTCAGTTAAACAGACTCCGTAATGAGAGGTGTAAAGGTGATGTATGCACAGAGACACCTTAGCCTGAGAAGAGAAACTTCCGGTGAAGAGTAACAACAAATGAATATGGAAGTGATTTAAAGAAAAAAGAAGAGGAAAAGAAGACAGGAATCAGGAAGATGACAAAATGAAAAGGAACCAGAAGGAAAAACACGGAAAGAAAGAACTGGAGGCACACTGAAGAACCAGGCATTCCTTTTTGTTGATGTCAGATCCAAGCTAATGACAAAAATATATGGTACCTGTTGGCAAGATTACAAATACAACCCTTTTTTTTTTTTTCCTGCATCTTTTATCTTGAAACATCTTAGAATCATTGACATATGCTGCACAGGAGTCATCTATACAAAGTTTAAAATTACCACAATTGATATGCAACGCAGCTATAACACACTAGAACCCAGAGCAGAACCCAGTAAATTGTAGCAGCTGTTAAAAGCAGCAGCCATAGTCCAGCTGAACATACTACAAGTTCCAGTCAGTTTTCCATTTGTTTTTTGATTTGGGGAGGAGGGCGGTGTTGCCTTTTCGTACATATCTTAGAGTTGCCAGTATGGAAAAACCTTCGTTCATTCTAATCAGAGATTTTATATTTTAACAATTCCAACTTTTTTCACGGCAGAAATTTCAACCATAGCTTTTTGGTGTAAAAAAAAAAAAATCATAGTAATTTTTTAAAAATAATTTTTATGGAAAGCCGGTCAAGAATGTCAGCAACCTTCATCAGTACGTTAGCTAAAAGCTTCCAGTAGGAAGAGTCTACTGCTTGTTTTTGGATCCTTCACCCACTGATTCAACCAGAGATCCTCCAGGTCTGGCAAACCTGAATTCCAGCACACCACAGCAATGCTCAGAGAGCCTGCCCAAACCCACAAAACTTCCAGGACTCTGACAACTTTAGAGTTCACTTAATAAAGCTTCTGCAAATTAAACAGCTTATTCTAAAGAACTAAACTATTTAAGATGTTATGCTACTTCTTGTGTTTAACAGTTTAAAGATCATATGCAGTTCACATTCTTACACTGATTTGTCACAAAGCTGATAAGACAAGCTAGTAGGGTAACAATAATTTTATTTTCTGATATACTTCTTATCAAATGAACTGAAATGTGTTAGAAGCATTGCATTTCCAGATCAATGAATTTAAGAAGCTCACTGGCAAAGTGGCAAGATTATAATATACACAAACTTTCTCCCTTAGCATTTATTTCTGAAGAAAAAACGAGACTTGAAATGCCAGCACTTGGTTAAATACCACACTGAGGTAAGGAAATAGCTCTTTTAAAAGTACAGCAAGGTCAAAAGCCAAAGTCCTTCTGACTGCATGTCATGCACTTAGTATTCCTGCCTCCTTCCTAAACGTTTCCTGGAAGAGTCCTTCAGGTTACCCCCAGGTGCCTGAACAGCCCCAATACAAGTAGCTTTCAACATTTTCACCTCAAGTTTGAAAGCAACAATTCCCATGAAATACCTCCATCGTTCAGAGATGGTCCTCATCTGGCAGTGAATTCTCACCCCCATGCGATCCCGGGAGGAAACAGGCGAGTCCAGCGTGAGAGTATCCGAAAAGTTACTTAATTTCCCAGGTATTTCCCAGGAAAGCTTATGTAAAAGCTGTGGAGAAACTAAGCTCCTTGTCAAGCTGAGAAGCACATCGCAATGTCTCGGGCAGAAGCTTTCCCCAGGATGTGTGAAATAGATGATTCAACCATTTTAAATTCCTTGGGTTAGTCACGTGACTGCAGCACATGCCCTGTCTTCTAACAACAACAACAGGGACCTTTCACAATCCTAACGAACAACACGTGTACCATGTATTATCTACAGAGTCACGGCTCAGCCCAAGGGTGCTGTCATAGGGCAACCTTTCGGTTTCACTTATTTGCAGTCATCATGACCTGCAGAACAGCCGTGTTTACCTTCCCGTGGCGGTCGGAGCCTGTGCTTCTCTCTCTGCCCATCCCTGCACCTCAGCTTTAATCAAATTCCACCTTAGGAGGACAGTGTATACACAGCACACCGCCGGCGCGCTTGTCAGAACTTCACGCTTTACTGTGGTGAAAAATTCACTGCTCGAGGGGATACTCCTGACAGGCAAGTTCGTCCACCCCTTACGAGGACCCCTCCAGAAATCTGCCATCTCCATTAAGAGGGAATGCAACAGGTTTATAAAACACTGTGCTACAGGTGTGCATCACTCACACGACTAACTGCAGGCATACAGAATCATCTCCCATTTTCCTAAGTATGGTCCACAAATTGCTGTCACCCACATCTCCCTATGTCACATCTGTCTGATCACTGTTAAAAACAGTGATCTCCCAACATAACACACGGTTTTTAATAATGAAAATGCTCAGAATTCCACAAAAAGGCAAGTAGATACCTGTATAAAAAACCAGCTGAGTCAAGCATGGGGATCTTACTACTTACAAATTCTTATCAGAGATTACTTGTTTTCAAACTTTCTGGTTAGTATATGTTAGAATGCTCTAATTTAGACACTTCCACATGTGACCATGCAGGCAACTTTAATACATAAGAAAAACATACAGACTCTTCAAATACAAAAGAGAAACATGTGGAACATAAGCACTAGGTGGCTTTTGGTTATATGCCTTCAGTATTTACCTTGTGATTAAAACAGAACTCTTTCAGCTAATTTTTTAGTGAAATACATAGGGATGCTGCCCAGTTGTGTAAGGATGGGGTCAGGAAGGCCAAGGCATGGCTGGAGCTGAACTTGGCAGGGGACACATAGAATAGTAAGAAGGGCTTCTACAGGTACGTCAGCCAGAAAAGGAAGGTCAAAGAAAGCCTACTCCCTCTAATGGGCAAGATTGGCAAACTGGTAACAACCAACGAAGAGAAGTTCTTAACAACAGAGGGACCTGGACAGGCTTCAGAAATGGGCCCATGTGAACCTCATGAGGTTCAACGAGGCCAAGTGCAGGGTCCTGCATCTGGGCTGGGGCAACCCCCCGTGTCAATACAGGCTGGGGGATGAAGGGATTGAGAACAGCCACAAAAATGATGAGAGGGCTGGAGCATCTCAGCTACGAGGACAGGCTGATAGAGTTGGGGTTGTTCAGCCTGAAGAAGAGAAGGCTCCAGGGAGACCTTATAGCAGCTTCCTAGTACTTAAAGGGGGCCTACAGAAAAGATGGGGGCAAACTTTTTAGCAGAGCCTGTTGTGATAGGACAAGGGGTAATGGCTTTAAACTAAAAGAGTGTTTAAAGTCCTAGAGAGAAGGAAGACATATTTTTACACTGAGGGTGGTGAGACACAGGCCCAGGTTACCCAGAGAGGTGGTAGATGCCCCACCCCTGAAAACATTCAAGGTCAGGTTGGACGGGGCTCTGAGCAATCTGACCTAGTTGAGGATGTCCCTGCTCTCAACAAGGGGGTTGGACTAGATGATCTCTAAAGGTCCAACCCAAACCATTCTAAGATTCTATGAAATACAGGCTAACTTTTGAGCCTAATTAAAACAATTCACATAGATAAAAGTGCCATGAAACATGTTGGCATTCTGTAGTTTACCCATTTGAATCATAATTCTGTTTCCAGCCCTGTAAGCACTGAAGAACAAATTCTAATTTCTCAATTGAATTTTTATTTTTTATCAAGCATAATCAGGAAGATATCAATATTGCCAGGACAGGGTTATATCAATTTCTCTCCAAAACCAACATCAATACATTAAAAAAAACCACAATTAAACCCCCACCCCATACTTAAGTTCAATCTCCTATTTTTGTGGGTATCTCTTTGTTAACATCAATCTCCTTCAGTATATTCCATCAGCCATTTCAGAATCACTGAAATTAGGGATGGAATAGGAATAGTAGTGCATCATATATGTGTAACTCAACTCATGGAGGCACATTCACACCATTTTCGGTATTTATTTTATGTGCCTCGACATTCTATACAACAAATGAAAAAGTTCTCTCAAGAGAAATGCTGTAAATCCCTGTTAGATTCTCCACTGACTGCACTGAAGGTGTTGGTGCATTCATATTAGATGACAATGTGAATATCTCTAAAATAAGAAATTCATTGATAGAAGTATTAGATATTTCTAATTTCCAGGTGCTGTCCCTCAATCCAGCCTGTGACATTTCAGATTCCAAAGGGGACACCACAGAGCAGCTCTGTTCTGAAAGTATGTGGAAATAAAGCTAGAGTGAAGAAGTAAAACCTTATGATTTCTTACCATTTGGTATTTGTTCCTGGCCATGTAACCTCTTAAGAGAGCCTGAAGAGCAATAGTAGCATCTCGCATGCATTGGTATCTTTTGCGGACCACATACATGCGCTGGAACTTCTGAATAGTGATGGCAGCCCGTGTTCTCCGCAGAAACTTGGCATAGCTAAGAAAGAAAAAAAATTACAAATAATACCTGCAATTATTTTTCCAGTGTTTGAGTACCGTATTTTTTACATCCTATAACTTTATCCTCTTTCTCAAGAGCTACATTTTCTACTTCACTTTCTTCCTAATGAGTCAGTGATACAGTGATACTTGCTATTCTACAATATGACAGTACAACAGAACGACAAATTAACAGAAATCTTGCAAGGTTTTATGGAGAAATATTTTCACTTCCTCTGAGAACTGTGCTAGAGAACCAACAAGATTAACTTAGCCTAATTTCTCATCACCTTTTCAGGAGCTTTAAAGCTATTTCCACTATGCCACTTTCCAGATCTCCTCTCCTAACCCCAACCTGTAGAAAATATTTGCTCATTCTAGGCCGTCTCAGCAAGACAATTACAAAGCATCTTGACATAAGCCTCTTTCTGAAGGTTGATTCTTACAGTCATCAAAACCAGCTTGTCTTTGAATGATACCACCTGTACTCCTACCCTTTTCTCTGTCCCATCCATGGCCATCACGCAGAAGTCAATCCAAACAAATTACTCTGATGTATCTCCCTTCACAGCTGCACCCTGGATGAGGAATGGGCTCTCCAGCAGGACAGACCCAGCTGAGAGGGCACATGCAAACTGGGCCATAAGGACTCACCCAAGGGTCCTGCTTTACCTCACCTGCAACATATCCCCTAGTACGACTTGTACTCTGCTCCCACTAATGACATACTGTTCTAAGCATCATACAGCCAGGGTGCTACTGTCCTCCCAGGAAGGTCAAAACCAGGCAGGACAGACACACTCGTTATATTCAATTTCCTTCATTTCCCTGGAAAATCATTTCCTCTCAGCCAGCATAGGAAGGAGAGAACAAATGTTATCACATTTAAATGTCCTAGTTAAAGGGATCTGAATTGAGGCTAGTGTGGGTTTTCCCACGAGCATTGCTTACCATCGTGCTTGGTACCCTCTGACATGTCTCTGAATGGTGATGGCAGCCTTCCTCATACGCACGTACTTCTTTCGCATCAGCCAGCCTCGGATTGTCTTTTGGATGCGGATACAGGCAGCTCTCAACTTATCTGCCCTTATTTTTTCCAGATAGGCTACTTGACCAGCCCGGAAAAATATTTTTGTCTTACCAAACTGGTACTTATCCTTGTCCTATTTTCAAAGGTAAAAAGAGGATCAGTTACAGCCTTAAATGTTAGTGATTAAAAAAAGGTACGAAGGACTAAATGAAAGTACAGTTAGCAAAGAGGTAAAATTATCTGTGTAATATTTCAAGTAAACCTAGACTTAAATTAAGTAGGGGATAAGAGTATTTCCTTTGTATGATCCTGTTAACAAATTAATACAGTAAGGCCACAAGTGTGGCCTAAGAGAGTAACGTGATTTTTGCTCAGACAAGAATGCCACAAAGATTGTAAGAGACGTGGATGGCTACAGGAGGTGACAAAGGGGCCCAAAGGATGAAAGCAATACACGTGTAATACACGGGAAAGGTAACGCACGTGTAAAATTCCCTACTTAAATTGTAAATGATCCCTCTGAGTGATCCATCTTCAACCATATTACACAGCACAAGCAGAACAGCTGGGGCTTCAAACATGTACGCATCGCTTACTGCCACCGGGACTAAGCCAGAACAAAGCATCTTGCTGCAGCTCAAACACAGCTGAAATTTCAGAACTAAACCAGAAAGAGAATAATATTCTGTCTCTACAGGCTGTCGTACTCATTGGAGGGAAAAACTGAGAATATACAAAGGTACATTGAAAATAATTAATTTTGGTGATTGTTTGATGTTAAGTTAAAAGGAACAGCAGTCAAAGAGCTACAGCTTAGGATATATTTAACACTACACACTAACACTATAAATAGACACATGCATGTAAGCCAAAAGATTTTAGTTAAGTCCACCCAATGACACAGAATTTAAGAAGCCAAGCCCCAAGCTGCCTGCACAGTATTTATTTTTTTGTTTCCATAAACAACCTAACATTGGCATTGCACTTCAGCAAGGTATGCTTTTGTATCTTCAGTAGACTTTGACTCTTCTGAGTTAAGTCTCAGTTAACCACTTCTGCTGAGAACTGGCTCTCTGGAGCCTGCCTGCCCTCCACTCTTCATCGGTCCTTAAGAAATCCCAGGAAACCCATCAGTTCAGGTGCGACACCAGTGGTGTGGATGGTACAGCCTGGGAATGTGGGGCTGCAACTGGAGGGAGGGGGCAAAGCAAGAGGCTGCCGAGGCTCGAGGGCAGCCACAGCGCTGAGCAGGGAGACATGGTCACGAGGACAAAAGGAGTAGAAGAGGTTGACTTCAGCACAGGAGCTGAGAGGAGCAGTGTGAAAGACAAACACATACAGAAACACCTCCACATCAGAAAGCCTTCAGATAACTATACCTTACTTAAGGTGTGGTTAATACATCTTGCTGTTAAGCAAGGTAAGGCTCACTCTCAACCCACCCACACTGAAAATCCCCATCACCCTTTCCTGTGATACACTGGGAAATTCTACAGTTCCACTGCTAATATTGGCGGTTTGGTACTTTGTAGAAGTACTGAAATAGTCTGGCTATGAAAGAGGAAGGGACACTATCTACTCCTTCCGATTCCAAATGCTGTTAGCACTAAGGATAGTACCAGAATTAGCTTTTCCAGGACATTTTTACATGTCTGCTTTCGGTCACTAAGGACATCTCTCTGCTTCATCAGAACACGGTAACGGCTGAAGAACTCTTGGTACGTCCACCTGCCCCAAAAACAGAGACAGTGTCAGTCCCAACAATTAATAATTCTCTTAAAAAGAAGAACTGCAGCTGAAAGCAATCTAAAAAAGTGGCAAACGCACCTGGAAGGGAAGCCAGCTGCACTGATTCGGATGGTCTCCAGGACACCACAAGCTCTCAGCTGCTGCACTGCCCGCTTTTCATCGAATCTACAGAGGAATAAAAAGACCTTGTGAGTATGGAACTAGTTTTGCATTACATGGGACCTCTGGCCCTGTGCACACACAGGTCAGGAATGGCACGGAGGGGGAGCAGAGGTGGGATGTGATGGGTGGTTAACGAGTCTAGATAGTGCTTCTGCAACTCAGCGATAACAGGGACAACCTGACCGGGGAATTGCCCGAGCCCATCAGCTGCTGTGAGCTGCTCCTCCTGGCCTGCCCAAGAGCCAGGGCAATCTTTGTGTGCCCAGATTTTCAGCAGACCTTTGAGAAAAGCTCCAAGCAAGTTCATAACTGAAAAAAATTCATAAATGAAAAAAAAAAAAATAAGGAATAAGATGCTGAGATCTGCAAAAGCAAATTCCAGCAAATGTCAAATGAACTCAAGGAGTGTAAATTGCCAGCCACACTTGACACAGCTAGCAATGAAAATGCTGGTATTTTTTCTCATATAGCACCATAAACAAACAAACAAACAAACCAAAAATCATCAAGAAGCATTTTGCCCTCCATTCATCCCAAAACATCTCCTGCTGCAAGTACAGGTGCAAGTACACACGCGCAATGAGTCCATAACTCATTGTGTTAGCTCACTCCTGAGTGAGCAAGGTTTAGCAGAGCCTTGATCCTCCGAGGCCTCAAGCAATTCCCTCCCACGCAGAGGCTGCACGGACCATACATGAACCAGCTTACGTGAACGGAAACTTGAAGTCGTTGGGCTTAATACAGCGCACGTAGTGTGGGGTTGTAGCATTCAGGGTTTCCATCAGCAGGTGAAGAGAGTTTCGAAACTTTTCGAAAAAGAAAAAGGGGAAAATATCAGGGAATAGCCTCAGTAAGCTCAGTCACGTTTGAGATAACCTCAGGAAGCAGACCTAAGGATATCTGTTTATTTGCAATAATGCTTTTGGTAATAAACACCAGCTTGTTTTTATTATGGCAATAGATTTGAGTTTCAGATACCATCTTTGGGTGAATTATTTTACAGTAAGTGTTGTAAATGTTAGGCTTTACAGGAGTAAAGCTCCCATATCAGTATGTGATAAATTACAAAATCATGGGATAGACTGAGTTATTTCCAGCTTTTGATATAACCCTAATCTTTGTCTGATCCATCTCTTCATGACTAAACCTCAGGGCATATTACTAAATAGCCATTTAATTTAAAATAATTTTTAAATCAAATTTTAAATCAATGGAGTAGTAAAAAAAAACCCAAACCATCAACTACTTCAGCTCCACTGATGCCAGTGTCAGACCTACTGAAAAGAACTTTGACAGTCCTATATCCGAGAATTTTTGGAGCTTTATTTAAAGTAGTATTAGGACCACAAATTTCTAATGTACTGCAGAATATTCTTCTAACCCCAGAATACCCTAGTAGATAAAGAAAATTATGAAAACATGCCTTAGGTGTTTTAAATGCATTGGTATGCATTTCCCTCTTTCTGTTGAACTCATGGTTCTATTTCTACGCAGAATATGATAAAAATCACTTTTGTATTAGCTTTCTTGAAAATTTATAAATTAATATACATAGTTGACTGATAGCAGTAGTAAGAGAGTACCCCTAACACTACAACTCATAGTTTCAGCCTGACAACAGAACTGTTAGGCCTCTATCAGCCTCAGGATACAGTCTGTTTGCAAAATCAGAAATTAAGTTCAAATTAAAAAGATACGTGGGCAGGGGTTCTCTTGCATGAACTGCAGAAGATTGGATTTTACAGTTTATATCATGAACACCTGCCAAGCAGATTGGCATTTGGTACAGTAGCATGAATAACCATTGCCATTCCCATCCATAGCTTGACATAACTTGTTTGGAGGAGATTATAGAGAAATTATGAATATCCACATTAAACATTTTCTGAATTCCCTGATTCTCACTTCATAGTGTGTGTAACTCATGACACTGCACAGATGCTGTGCTAACATCTTTGTTAGGGGATTGACAACCACCCAAGGCAGTGGACAAAGCCCAGGCACTTTTTGGTGATTTTATCAGACCTCTGAGCACCCGAGAGATGTGGCTGGTTCATCTTCAAGAATTGGCAGGGGACCCTGATACAAAGAACTTACACTCCTGACAGCTCATTTATATTCCATGCTGTCCTACAGTAACATAAAAAGAGTTATCCACACAGACCTCCCGGAAGCCCCAGGCAATAGATGAACACCACTACTCACTAGCAAAGTGGTTCAGGCTGGCAAGTAGATAAAAATCGAATACTAAACTGTCAAAAAACTTCCCCTCGGCTCCTCCGTATAGTCTGAGGGAAAATCTGTCATACATAAAGTACTGACTGGGGACAAACAGTCTTGAGAAAACATCTGTTAAAACTACCGAGTGGAAGGTAACAAAAAAGAAGTGAGTTCTCCAGCCATACTAATCAGCATACTTTTAATTTCATTCTGGCATATACATGTGGATATTTTTTGTTTAGCCCATTGATAAGTAGAACAAAGTTTTCTGGGGACTGAAATCCCACTTTTGATTTGAGTCAGATAACGTGGCACACAATCAAAGCTTCTCAGCATCCAGCACATTAAATCTGTTTTGAAAAACATGAGTTTGGGTTTTGGCAATAAGAATTGAGCTCCCTGAAACTGTGGTCCAAAATATATTAGTAATTAGGGCATATTTGCTTCAAACTGTAAGTCATAATCAGCTGCATCTGTCTCAAAATCACAAGGGATCCCAAGAAGCACCAGCAACACCCTGAGACTTCAGAGACAGAGGGGGGTAGAGATTATTTAATAGAGCTGAATCTTCAAACTCACCTGATGTCCCACAGTTTTCTTATGCTCCTTGCTGGCTTGACCTGGCCGGGCCTTGGCTGGTTTTACAGCTGTTCGAGACAAAGGTACGCGCCCTGAAGGGGTGGCTGACGTGGGACTAAGGACCTTCTCCTCATCCTGGAATAACTCTGGCAGCAGCTTAAACTGGTATAACAGCAGAAGAACACAGAGGGTAAGAATCCAGCGATTGCACCCGTTTGTGTTTAAGATAGTTAGAATCCAGGCTCAGTTTTAATAAGCATGGGATTCTTTTTAACTCCACATGGGGACAAATACAAAAAAGCATTCAAGCTAGTAGTATAGTGAGTGGGCCATGATTTAATACTAAGAAATTTGTAGGTTTGATCAGTGAGTCTCCTCTTGAAGATAAAATTCTGATTTGAGGAGGTTTTTTTCATAGAGCCAGCAATAGCTTCCATGTGAAACTGTTAGAAACTGACAGCAGTTTCATAAATACCAATTGAAATTATATATGGCTGCTTTGATCTAAGAAGGAAACAACAGGGTCCTCTCATATTCCAGTGGTGCATCAGACTCCTCTGTAGTTGAGAAATATCTAGGACACTGAATAACCCAGCAGGCAATAAAGAATATTCCTGCTTTATCAACTCTAAATTGAAATAATCAACTTAAAAGGGGAACCATCAACTAAAAAATTCCATTAGCCAAATTTATCTGACTGAAGATCTACTCTCAGGCCAGTGGGAGTTGGGGAACAACCTGAAACATCTTTCCAAATATCACTCAGGGTTTCTGGTTCCTTTCCCCTAATGGCTATAAAATACATCTATATAGAATAGCTGCTTTGAAGTAACTTATAACTAAAAATAACACCAGCTGGTCTTCCTACTGACAACTATAGCACTTCAGAAGCATTATAAGAGTAAGAAAATCTGAACTTCTCTACCTGTCAATGAATAATCTTTTATCTAGCATCTGTGCATTTTATCCCAAGAGATAGGAACATTCAATTTTCAGTACTAGAAAGTGCTTGGGGTAAGTACAACCTAAAAAAATAAAAAAAATGGTTTTGCCTTATAAAACTTGGTGAGCATGCATGATATCCAATGAAACATGCTGCGCAACAAAATGGTACTTGTGCTCTGTGGTTGTGCCAGATGGGCTAGCAGAAGGCATCAAACGTTCCTCAGTAGCATCCAGCACAGCACTCCAGCATAATATAACAACTACGAATGCTTCGAAGGTATTCTAAATTCCTGAACTAAAACCGGACTATCACAGCTCAGCTTTATCTCACCTGAGACTGCCAGATTAGAAGCACAATCACCCTAGATTACCTCTGTAGCTGGTGGAAGAATGACATTTCCAGAAGGTGATTTAGCCTGTCTCCTTCCACTGACTCAACAAAGAGTTCAGGATGGGCCACATTCAGCTGCCCGGGGTCAGGTGGAGTGAGTCGGTATGCACAGGCACCCGAGTTACAGAGACAAGTCTTTTCATCCCACACAGAAACTTATTGGAACGCAATATGCTTTGTCCGAAACTCCTGATGCTCTCACACACCAGGGGTGGGGCTGGGAAGGGGGTCCCCAATGCCTGGATTGCAGATGGATGAGCTCTTCTAAGCTATCAGTACGTAAGTCTCACTCCATTTTTCCAACCCTGGGAAAATCTGCCTGTAAAAATGAGCAAGTGCATTTCAAAGGTGCCCTTTTCATCGACACTGCCTCAGTTACCGCATGCAGAAGAAAGGAGCAATGTATGGCCTTCTGCAGCAGAGGTCAACAACAGGAAAGTGTTGCTGAGATGATCCACGCTGTGGGGACATTAATGTTTTCATCTGGTTTTGGGTTTTAGTATCTTATCAATTTTCTTGGTTCCACAGAACATTAGGAATGTTCAAAGAGAGGGAAAACACTGATCAAAGGGTAGATTATTCACGTGGTAGAAAACAAGCAAGCAAGCATTTTTTCCCTGTAATTTTTTCAGACAACCTAACAGACATGCTGCTAACAATCTTATAGATCATTTCTTTCAATACAGAGCCACAACAGAAGATTTTAACAACATGCCAGTAGCAAGCATAAAAGCTGAGGACTGCTGTATTGCTTTCATGACACATGCATAGAAACTGAACTAGTTCAAAGAGGTCCTGTGGGTAGATTTATAGAGAAGGCCAAAATAAATAACTAAACACTAGTGCCTGCCACGAGCAGTGTGTGTCATGCACTTTGGAAAGCAAAGAAGCATTCGAGCTGTATGTGAGAGTGGGAATGGGCAGGATGACAGATGACGCATTCAATTTAGAATTACCTTCTGTTGAATGTGCACAGCAAACCCAGAAAACAGACAACAACAAAAAAATGATCAGAAATGCTATCCCACTACAAGTACTAATAAAGAGGGTCTACTGAAAAATACCAATGAAACACTTTTCTGTTGAAAAATCTGTTTCTCCACAGCTGAAGTTTTGTTGTTTTTTTTTAAAACACCACTTTTGATAAAATTTTCTCCTGGGGAAAACCATGTTGATTCTTAGTGTTTAGACTGAATTGGCTCAATGTACTGAGCCTGCCCGAGCTGTCGTCATGCTCTTATGGCATCTATGTCCCCATCGTCCCGCACACACTGGACTACATCCCTCGGAGCACCCCTGCACCTCCTTCCTGCACAGCGCACTGCCTCCCTGTCCCTGCCAGCTCCCCGAGGATGCCACCTGCCTCCCACACACACAGCCACTGACTTCACTCAAACCACTTCAGTGCTTCTCTCAGTAGCAAGTCTGCTGTGGTTTTTCATTATACTACATGTTTTAATCATTTAGCTTCATATATCTGCTCAGAATAGAAACAGAAGAGAAAAACGTTGGTTTTCCTGATAGAATAGTATCATTTTAAATAGCCTGTCCTTGATACCCGGCTTCCTGGGCCATTAGAGCTAGCAAATTCCCAACAGCCATCACAGTGCAATGTCAAGTTAATTGCCTTTACATTTCAGAAGAGCAAAACTAGCACTTTTGCCATTAAAGCAAGCAGACGATGCCACTGAAGGCCTGTTCTATAATATTCCTTCATGCAGTACTTTTCAGTTCAGATGTTATCTTTCTTTCACAGTTATTGAGGAGGCAAGACTCCATAAATTCTGGTTTGTGTCCTTAGGGTCTATACATTTCATTCCTCTCTCATTTTGCTTCTGGAACAGAATTTGCCTCTCCTCCAGAAATTTTATGCTCCATTGTCAGGCCATAAACAAGAAGCTTTTGTTTTCAGATGACAAAATTAAGGGCTTAAGTGTTAAGCCTTCTTATACCACTATACTATATTAGAAGTCCTTGATGTCTTTAAAGAAAATATAGCAAACTCTTGTGAAAAATAAAAAAAAAAACCACAACTAAAAAAATCCCACCAAAACACCCACCCCAAACAGTGAAATCAGTGGCTAAATATAGACTGATCTTACACGGAGTAAAACAGGGCTACAGGACTTTCTAAATTCATACAGATAGCCAAGTAAAACACAAACTATGTTCAATTTCAGTTGATCTGATACTAAGGAAGAAATATTTCCTAAGTTTATAAGAAATGTCATAATATCCTTAATTCAAGGATTCATAACTGCAAAAGAAGAAGAAAAAAATATCCTTATACTAACCTTACTTGATTTTAGGACCTTAATTTGTTCTTCATAAACCGTGTCTTTATTCTTTTCCAAAAAGCCTTCGCATTGATATTCAACCTGAAAATTACCATTTTACAAAAAAAGTATTTAAAGCATTTAATAAAAATATTTTGCATAGCATTCACCAGCTGTAATGTTCACATTTAAAACAGACAATTCTTGTGGATGTTGGAAATAACAGCTCCCAAGTGCATCTTTGTTAAATATAGATTTTCCTTAAAGAGAGTGCTTTCCAGTAAAACGTAAAACATTAAAACATATAGAGATGAATACTGTTATTGAATTATACCAGATATATTTCACTGCTGAAAGATGCCTGTGGTAGGACAGCATGATTGAATGGTTACTGTAAAGGTGAAGAATCAAAACGTGTATTGAGCATCTCCTTCACCAAAGTGATCAGGGCTGAAAAACTGTGTGAAATCCAGATGCAACTGAGAACAAAGTATCTCATCTCATTAGCTGAGTGGCAGTAAGTACATCTGCCTCCAGCTTATTATGAAAATGCTTCATTTGTACTCAGAAAGACTATTCTGACCAGAAGCAATAACAAATCGGAACGTTGTGACAATACATAACAATCCTCTATCACAGGGCCACAGGGTATACTGGACCAAAGAACCTAGTATTTATTTCACTGCCCTAACTCAAGGCTGAACAAAACCCTGAAACTGTTGTCAAAAGCCTACATCTTAGGATTTGATATTAAGTAATGTAAGCATGCTAACTCTCATGAGGTGTCTCACACTAACTCTTCAACCTTGTATCAGCAGAAGTGCAGAGTATAAAATACAAGAGCAGACCTTTACAGTCATTTTATTCTTCTGGAGCAGACAGACTGAAAGCCATCAGCAGCCCCTCTTTCAATACAGCCATTTATCGGGGCTTACACAACACCACCATACCCCAAGCTGAAAAACATTTCAAAAAATTCCTAGGGGGGAAGAAAGCAGAGGATGTCCCCAAGGTCTACCCACAGCTGAAAGCCCACTCTGATCATTCCTCAGGTACCACTGATGTTCGTCCTGCAGGAGACAATGCCACGAGAGGGCAGCAGAATCTCTGCCTTCTCCCACAGAAGACAACGTCAAGGCACAGGGGTTACTAACACAGCTTTATTTTTGCCTTCAAGATGTCCGTATGCATCCACGTAAGCACACAGGAAAACATAAAATGCTTAGCACATCAGAGCTGAGAGCTTTGCCAATACCTGCTTGGAGCTACTTTTTGCTTTCCTTGGCCCTCAACGCTCAGACTAGGCATAGGAAAGCCTTGTTTTCAAATATCAAAGTTGAGCCTAATGAGCAGTATATGAAATATTAATAAAATCTTTCTTGATCTCTCATCCACCAAATAAAACAGAACTCCTGAATCTAAGCAGTCTTGCTGCTTTCATTAAGGTAGCACTAGACGCAACAAGAACAGGACCCCTCTTCTGTGCATAAATTCAAGATTCTGGGAGAAATCGAGTGGAGGCAAATAAAGGCCTCCAACCCCCCATGTCAGCACATACAGACCTACTGATAAGAATCCCAGAGCTTCTCCAAACTTTTTTTCTACAAAGCTGACAAAATTCTGACAATATTTGTTTAACAGGACAAATACCTTAAAATTATTTTAAAATGTATTTATTTTTAAGCTGAGGAGTTGGCAGTGTGACGATGCATCGTGGGAGCTGAAGAAGGCTAGACTGAGATACCCCTCGTCCAGCTTCCCAGAGCCAGCTGTCCAGTGACCAGCAGAGGTGAGGACGGGAGCAGCACTCACTGCCCCAGCGCAGAGAAGAAAGCTGTGCTACCCTCTTTCCTCTTGGCACATTAAGATGGCAGCAAAACCAACATTGTTTCATTGTGGCTCTTTAGCTCAAACTACAGTAAGATATATGATTTTCTATGTTGTGTATTTCTACAGCATAACTGGAATGGATACAATTATGCTGTGACCTGCAAAGACACTAGAAGTTGTCATGTTTTGAAAAAGGATGGTTAGTGGTTACAGCATGTGGCAGGAGTCAGGAGCTCTTGTTTGTGTTCCTGGCTCTGCAGAGCTGCCAGGTCCACTCTCTCCTCCCAGCCGGCCCCACAGGCAGACACACAGTTTGCAAGGAGCCGAGCAGAGCCAGGGATGCTGCTGCCCGGTCGCTGCCTGCAACAGCCGCCCACCCCAGCACCCCCTCAGCAACACCCACCACGGGAAGAGGTACCGGCGGAAAAGGCCTTACCTTGTCAGCAAAGTGCTTGATGATAAAAGCCTTATTTGACAAACGTGGCTTCTCAAAGAGGGCACATTTATTCAAATGAGTATTGTATAGTTTTTGGGCCCAAGTGTCATCCGAGCCTTTTGGCATCTGCGGAAGAGAGCACACAGCTGTTTAAAATGTCCTGAGAAGTTTTCAGTAGCAAAAGAAACTCAGATGACAGGGACAACACTTTGTGGTTTGCTTTCAAACTCCGACTCCTCGGATTTCCAGCACTGCCATAAGCAAGGAAGCCGCTAACCAGCTCTGGACTGTGCTAGAAAGGCAGCAGCAGGTACAGCTGCCATCTGACACACACCATGCTAGTAACGCTTCCAGAGTCACACACCTGCAGGCAGGGATCCAAGAGATACCCTATCTGACCAAGCAGCACCTCAGCGGGTCAGAATGCACCCACCACCATTAGAGATCGCTTGTGATGCTTTGTGCTACACAAGAACCCCAAGCTGGATTTCCACTGAAGTAGACACCACGTGTCATCCCCTGTACATGACTTGCCATAAATTAAATTAACATAAAGACAAAAGGTGAGACACCAAGCAAGAGGCAATTTGGAAAAATCTGGCAGGACCAAAGACTGCATTTGCTACACTTGGGAAAGAGGAAGTTGCCAGAGTCAAAACAAAGGTTGATCAGAGACCCAGAAACAGATATAGACACATGATGGAGAGGAGGGGGAAAAAAGCATGAAACCATTTTTTCTCCTCCTGTAACTGCCAATTCTGTTTGTATGTTCTCCAAATCCTTTCAAAAGCAGTGTCAAAACGATGGCTGTACTCAGGTGACTTTTCCCTGTGAGGGCCCAGAAGCAGGATGGCTGATGACCTCTTTCTCTATGAAAGCCCTTGAACACACACCTTGCACTCCTCATCCAACAGATCCAGAACTCCCATTTTGGCCTCTATGAGGTTGATGCATGGCTGATTGTCGTAGAAATCAATCAAGGTCCATGGTATTTGTTCCTTCATATACTCTTCTTGTTCCAGCTTAAAGACATGCTACAGGGCAAAAAGAAAACAGTTTTCTGTGAAATGAAATGCAGAATAAATACATCGAACTCTCACTTGAGTTCCTCTTGGCACATTAATCCAAGCTGTCAAGTGACACACTAGTCCAACTGAACAAACCTTTTAACAAGTAAGTGTATGAAAAATAAATTAACCTTTTTTCCTGGCCTAAAAACAACAGACTAAATTACAGCGCTCATTCATATTCCCTGCAAATAAGGTCTGGTTTTTTCCTATCTATTTACTATATCGTCCCCCAACTACTATAAGCTCTTTTCTCTTATAAAAAGACCAACACAAAACCCAGAAAAAGCCTCAAGCGCAGAAACAGCAACTTATAAAGTAAGATGTGCCAAGCATTTATGATTATTAAATTACAGATACTGTCTATTTCCAGTAAAATTTCACTATAAATACTTTTGGGTTTCCTTGTAAAAGAACAGAGCTCCATTTTCTCTTAAATGGATGCAGATTTTTTTCTAAGATGACACATTGCATTAAAATATACTCTTCAGCAAAAACAACTCCAGGAGTATTAGCACCAGAAATCTTTGAAGCAAAGTTTTGTGGAAGATTTATCTGGTACGAAGATCAATAACAATGCAGTTGCATATTTATTCAAAAATATTATCATAAAAAAACTGAACTGCTTTAATGAAATGTGCATAGGAGATGAATTAAAACTTCAGGGAAAAAAGATAGTGAGATATTAAACAGGCAAACTGTGGTCTTAATAGCACAAGCACTCTCTTTAAAAACAAAAAGACTGCTGACTCCAGTTATTTTAAATGACGTTTTATCTCCCATTTAAATTTTAATGCACACTAACGGCACTGGCAAGCAGAACTGAACCTGGAGCATATCCTAACAAGCAGCAAGGGTTGGTGGGCCACCACAAACCCCTGGGCTGGTCTCAGCTTCCCCCGAGCTCCGTGCACAAGCCCACGAACGCCTCGCAGCTCTCTGCCATGCATCTGCCAGGCAGCAGAACACGGCCCTGACAAAGCGGTTTATCCCTTTTTATTTCATTAGCTTAAAGCCATCCTTCCCAAAGCAGCGCTCCTTAAGAGCACCCGGGGGAGCCATTCCCACCCTGACGCTTAACTGCTGCATTACACACCAAGTTAATTCCTGACAGGAAAGCCAATGGTAGCGTTTTATTGGCAACCATTATTATCCAACCTACGTCCTGAAAGAAAACATTTCTCCACCGTAACAGAATTAGCAATTATGTAGTGAAAAATGTCTTCAGAGATGTACTTGAGATGTCTTCCACACCTGCAGTACTGTGTCCAGTTTTGGGCTCCCCAGTTCAAGAGAGACTGGAGAACTCCTGGAGAGTCCATCAGAGGGGTACAAAGATGACCAGGGGACTAGAGCACCTCTAATGAGGAAAGGCTGAAAGACCTGGGTCTGTTTAGTGTGGAAAAGATTGAGAGGGGATCTCATCAATGCTTATAAATATCTGAAGGGCAGGGTGTCAAGAGGACGGGGCCAGACTATTTTCAGGGGTGCCAGGCGACAGGACAAGGGGCAATGGGCACAAACTGGAACATAGAAAATGCCATCTCAACATGAGGAAAAACCTCTTTATTTTGAGGGTGGCAGAGCACTGGGACAGGCTGCCCAGAGAGGTTGTGGAGTGTCCTTCTCTGGAGATACTCCAAACCCGCCTGGACACGTTCCTGTCCAACCTGCTCTGGGTGACCCTGCTTTGGCAGGGGGTTGGTCTGGATGATGTCCAGAGGTCCCTTCCAACCCCTACCACTCCGTGATTCTGCAATTCAGACCTCATTTTTCTCAGGGGCTGTGTGTGGGTGCCCAGGCAGGCAGGCTGGCCGGGGAGGCCGGGTGGGCTATGGAGATGGGAGTTGGGGCCAGGCTGTCCCCCAGAAGCTGGCCCTTGGCCACGCTCAGGCCGTCCACAGTGGCAGGAGAAGGCTTGCTGGCTGCTGCCACAGACATGGGCCTCCAATTTAAAACAACGTCCACCCCATGTACCTGCATGGCAGCCCAGTGGGTGGGTGTCCACCAGTGCTGGGTTTGGTAGCTCAGCAGGGCATTGACACAAAAGCCCCATCTCATGAGAGAAGTGCTTACAGCAACAGTGCGATAGGGAAGGGAACATGGGGAAGGTGATGTGTAATAAAAAAGTGAACCCTTGCAATTCTTACAGTGACGAGAATTTTGCTGTAGAGCTGAGAAAACTCCAAGATACCTTGTGCTCAGCAGTTCCAACATCCCGCTTACGGCACTGAAGCCAGCCATGGCACTACCTCCACAGAGAGGGCATGCCGGGGCCGGAAAGCCCAGCCATCACCGGTCCAGCACCCCCCGACTCCCCGACACCCATCCCTGCCGCTGGGATGAACAACGGCGTGGGGGGATTCGGTCCTGTGAGCAGACCCTGCACGGAGGCAGGCTCCTGAGGAGAGCTCACAGCTACTCCCGTAACACAGCACAGCCTAGCAACAGGCCTGGCATAAATAACTCGCCTCATCATTATGCAGGTAAGATATATAATTACAAACGTCACTAGGGCTGAGGGGAGGAGAGAGGGAGAGAGAATCGTGATCTCTCTGGAGGAGGCGCCTCTCGCCACACGTCAGTCATCAACTGGAGGATGCGGCTGAAAACGCTCAAAAAATAACAGCGGGAGGGGAAGCGCGGGCGGCAGAGTTCCAGCAGCAAAGCCCTGCTCTCCGCTGCCCCTGCTCAGGCTCTCGCCGGAGGTTACGGAGACACGGCTAACTCCAACTTCTCCCACACGGCGCTCTCATTGACAGGCAATCTCGGGGTCTTAATTGCCAAGCACTGCTTCTGTCTTATAATTGTTACTGTGATCGGAATTTCAAATAGTCCCAGAGCAGCAGTTAGTCATAAAATCTATTTCTAGGAGATAGTCGATCTTTCCCCATCCCCCAAAGCCCACGGCCAGGACAGCTGGTTAATAGACTGAAGGAATTCATCGTAACCACTGGGGACCCAATTAGCAGAATAGACTTGGGCGAGGGAAAAGGGAAGAGGAAATGCCAGTCATTTCCTACTTACCATATTGAACTGCTGCTGCAGTTTTTCGTTGGCATAGTTGATACAGAACTGTTCAAAGCTGTTGATTTCGAATGTCTCGAATCTGAAATATGCAGATACTCAAGATTACTAGTGCAGTGAAAAGAAACAGATGAAATGACCCCATAAATTCCCTCCCTCCAGTCATATTAATTGCATTCTTCCATTTCTGCATTATTGCACAAACAACCACAATCAAGCAACAAAGCACACAAGGAAGTAGGAAATTGCAGTACACAGGCAGTTCAGTGATGGTCCCTCTTTAGGCAGGGATGAGGAACATAGAGGAGGGACTGATGTTCATGGACAGCATGTTAGTTATCTTTGTCCTCTCTAGAAGTACCATCGTGGAGGAACCATGAGATGACGATTCCCTTGTAACTTTTCCCAATGCAATACATAAGAAAACCTACCAACAGCAAAAATCTGAAATCTCACTATAAATGTTAAACCTGAAAGTCAAGACAAAGATGTCAGATAGCATGTCAAAACTAAACACCTACTTCCTTCAGCTGGAATAAGCAGCTGCTGAGGGCTTAGGGTTTTTTTTTTGCATAATCCACGCAGTGCTACGTGATAAAGACAAAGACACTTTGCAGTAAGATAATTATGTAAGAGGTGACATATCTCTGACAAAAAGACTCACCCATAAATGTCCAACACTCCAATGAAGGAATGCTGTTTTACAGTAGCGTGAAGGGCTTTGTTCACATGATCTACAATCCAGTTAAAGAGATTAGCGTAGATATGTTTGGCAAGTGCATCTCTGGCATTGATGGCATGAAGTTTAGAAATTGGCTTGATGTAGGTTTCAGTGGCAGTTGCGAGCTTCCTATGGCAAAGCCAGTGGGCCATCTCTTCATACTCCACACCCATGAGGTCACAGAAGATGGTGAGGGGTTCATGCTTGGGCTAATAAAAACAATCTCGTTAGGTCTTGAAACAGTATTACCAATAGCACACATGCAATCATGCAATCAGAAGAACTGCCTGTCTGCAGTGATCCAACAATAAGCAGCAACAGCAGCTTCTACAGCTCTTCCTCCTTCAAAACGTAACAAGTTCCCTACCCACTTGTCACATCCACATCACTGAAGCAAATTAGTGAATCACAGTTTCCCCAAAGGCATTTTACTGTACTTGTGTTCACCAAAAAGCCCCACATAGACAACCTGCAACCTTTGCAAAAATGAATCACCAAGCTTCACAGGGATGGACCTGGTATTTTGAATTGTTATAAATAACTGTGTCAGTTTTGAGTGAAGAAGCTAGAGAAATAGAGAGGACAGGATGTCAGCTGTGTGCTGGGGACAGAACGGACTACAGTTCCTCAGTGGTGCTCTCATCTGCTCATGACAGGGAGTGACAGGCAATGGGGCATCGCAGCCCACGCCAAGAACAAGAAGGAAAAAGTGTAGAAGGGTCTGGTCTTTAGTGCTCTGGTCTCAGTATTTAACACAGTATTTTTCCAGTTAATTCTGGAGACAAACATTAAAGAGACTTGAGCACACAAATGGTGTTCTATAACTCTCAAATTAGACTGCACAAGTGAAAAAAAATGACCTTTATTTAAGTGGGTAAAATCAACTAGCAAGGCTTGCATGCTTAGATGGGTATATAAGACTTTGGCATTAATGTGTAGCGTGTTTACCATTCAATGAGTTAATATACTACACCTCATGACTAACAAGCAAACCGATGGCTAGAAATCAAGGAGGACAGACAGGTCTTTCCTCCTAAGGAACTCCCCTAACACTACTTCCTCATCACATTCACTTTGCACCCGGTGGCTCAACAGCACGCTGACAAGCAGCGTCTTGACAAGGACAGATTACAGGGAACTGTTACTACATGCCCAGTAGCTTCAGGGTACATCAGCTTTATCTTTCTATTTCCACGTCCTTCTGACTTCTCTGGGGTTTCTCCCAGTCCTTCCAGGGTACAGGTCCCACAGCAGTGCTATTACACCTCCAAATTCCAGTTAACTGAGCATGTCTTCTTTCAGTTTAGCCATACCACTTAAGCTGGCTCAGAAGACAAAAATAAAGCATGAACATATTTTTGTCCATGCATGGACAAAAATAAATGATGAACACTGCACAAAAGAGTGTCACAGTAGGGTTACTCAAGCTGACATTAAACGAACTGATTCATTCACACAGCACCACGTGGAGCCCTTCGCTGAGCTCCCTGAAGCACCGTCACCGCACCACGGCGCCAGCACTGCCCAGGCACCAGCCCGCTTTGGTGACTGTCTGCTCCCTATTGTCAGGGAACGGCACGGCTCAGGTAGCAGATGCCATTGAGCACACTTGCACCGCCGCCTGCTAGATGTTTACCGTGTCAGGATAGGATTGCACCGGAATGTGCAGCTTTGTACTAGCTCATTCAGTGAGATTCCTGCACTGGAGATACCCGTTACAACACAGCCGAGCTCATCGTGTCCTTGGCCTCATCACCTTTCTACATGTGGTCATTAAATGATGCTTTCTTTGTAGAGAAAACCTTTTTAAGACACACCAAAGAGGCAGCCTGTTGCTGTGGTTTCCCAGCAGCTATCCATCAGATCCCACAGATAGGTAGGCTCAGACCAGGCACACTGGTCATCTGCAGCCCCATGAAGGACCTGTCATCTCAGCCCCAGAAACTGCTACTGAAAATCCTTGAGAAAATGCCTGATAGTAAAATGAGAAAATAACCCTGCAGCTGTTGCTACTATTTGAAGGGAGAGAAAGATGAAGACTGTGTAATCCAGCAGCAGATATTCAAGGAAAGGCAAAAGGAGAATCTAGTCACTTGTGGATCCAAGGAAGAGAAGAGTGACAGAACAGATCTTTTTTGTTTCTCATCTCCAGAATATGGAGTTCAGTAAGAAGCCCTGGCCTTCACTGAATGAGTTTTTTTTCAGATCAGACTTACGCAGTCTTCATTGCTGATCTCCGCCAAGGTGAAGAAGGACTGATAAAACCACGAAACTTACATCAGTCACACAAATCACACCTGTATATCCTACACTTATATCTAGACATCCCAGAGGACTTTGCAAAGCATTTGCTTTGCAATTATTGAGGCCATTTTGGCATTTAACATTAAAAAGCCCAACACCCTGCAAAGCATTTAGTGTGGGCAGGGAATGTATTCATGTAGGAATATGAAGATCTAGACACCTGTCCAGGACTTCAAAGCTAGCCTGTCTGGTAGACTTTTCTAGGACATATCAATCAGAGTTTTGAAATGAAATTAAGGCAACGAGCATTACAATACAGAGAGTAATGTCTAAAGCCTCTACACTGAGAAGAGTTGAATCCATCTGCAAAGAGAACTGTGAAAACGTTAAGAAATGAGAAACAAACATACTGCTTGCATTTTTGTATTTGTTACTCTTTTTCGGAAGAGGTCCCTGCAAACAAGCAGAAGGCAGAACTGCCAGAGTAGAAACCACAGTCTTTAGATCATATTCTACTCACAGGAACAGTGCAGCTGTCGGAATCCCGAGACGCAAACTCCACGTTGCCCAAGTGAAGGATGCCAGCAAGGATTCGAAAAATGCCCATCTGGTAGGTATCACTAATCCCTGAAAAATGATGAATAAAACGTTTTGAATGAAGAGAGAAATAAAAAACCATGAGCTGCAGTTGATGAAAAAATTTATTAAAAAGAGAAAAACGGTGGCTGTTTTTTTCAGATTATGGCATTTGTCAGTACTGCTTGGCTCCACTTCTATTAAATATATTTTACAACCAGATAAAAAAAAAAATTCCATTAAAATGAGCTATTTAATTTGCTGTTTCAGAGTGCTTTGTCAGTGACCTCCAACAATGCATACGCTACACAAGGGAATCCACCATTTCTGTTCATATAATGTGCTCCTCCTACACTAACAATGGGATTCCACTGCCATTTAAATACCTTCTTAATGCAACAGAAGTACCTCAGTCCCAAATGTTAGCAAACTCTCCTGTTTTTAAGCACAACAGAGTATGAAGAAAATATACACAAACAATGTAGAAAACACTTGCTAGTATATTAGATTTGGGATATGATTGTGTTTTACAAATTACCTAGCAAAGTGCAGGCCTGCCTGGTGTTTACCATTTCCTTAGCATCATTGACACCATCAATCACAGGGCTTCCACCTTGCTTCGTATAGTGAAAGTAATTTGCATTCCCTGAAAAAAAAAAAACAAAACCAAAACCAAATCTTTTACACACACTGATGCAGAAATTCACAGCACATCTGTAAAGCTGTGTAACAATTAAGTAGCTCTTGGCAGAATCCATGATTAGAGATTTTGCCTCCTGGCTCATAGGACGCACTTATTCTGGAGAAGAATTTTTTCAAGATTTAACAGTGAAAATAAGTATTCTAAAGCTACCTGGGTTCCTACAATAGGCCCTCAAGCATATTGTCTATCTAATCTTTGTTCAGACTTCCACCTGTAGAATAATCACTCTGGAAGCAATTATTCTTCAACTCTGAGCCAACCACTCAAGAGGCAGGTGCAGAGTTGACAGCAGCAGCACTTTGGAATTATGCTATTATTGCATCCACTTTGCTTATTTTCTTCTCATTTCCGATTTATGGTCTGGTTTAGTCTTATGAGTATCTGTGATGGGTTCTGGCTGAGAAGTTATGGTCAGAGAACTGATAGCTTCACCACTCTGGAGACAGTCCTGGGCTTCACCGGGAGAGCAGTAGCTCTCCTGGGTTCTGTGTAAATTCCTGTGGTTTCAGTGGCCGTGCTTCCAGCTGCAGCAACAGACTCCTTTTCTTCTGATCTGCTAAGGTTTCAAGAACGCTGAAAGAGGATTCTGCTAAATGGCTTCTTTAGTTATAATTACATCAGTTCCTTTCTTTCCTGTGTCAGCAGATGTGAATCCTAAATGTGCCAGGATGGTGCGGAAGAGCAGAGAAACACTTCAAAACCAGAATGGTATTTCAGAAATTGGCACTGACAGGTTGTGCAGTTTTCCCACCATGAAGCTGACTTTTAAAAATATACAAGAAGCACTGGAATTTATATTGAATTTTAAAAATGATGAGGTGATTGCCTGTCCCAAGGTCATCATAATGCCCTTCTTTTACCCAGTACCAGTTCCTGCTAAATGAGAAATCTTTCCTTTATCAACATTTTAATTTGAAAAATGAAAAACTGCACTTATCAGGTTTGTGATCACCAAGTTAGCAGAGATGGTGAAGCTGGTAACAGCCCAAGCAAAAGTATGCAGATGCAAGATAAGCTTTTCAGGTGTCTATACCAGAAATGGTAAAGTTCTCCAGTAGCTGGATCCATGGAAAAAAGGTTTTAAAGGACCAAGAGAAGAGAATTTCACCATCGCCAGTGGAAAGCTACTCTGGAGTCCAGGACATAGTAAGTCCTAGTGATCACAACTGCAGTGTATTAGAGCATGCTGAATAAACAAATCCGTTACTTTCATTTTATCTAAAAACCCTAAAATCTGAGATCTGTGATTTTTGTTGTTTTCAATATATTTTAGTATTTGAAGGTTTAAAAGTTTAGAATGTAAAAGCCAGCAATTCTTCTTTTGGTTCTATGGCTCAAAAAGCTCAGAGATGCTTCTTTGTACCTACAGTTGCACAACAGAATGAACGTGAATTTCATACCTAATCGTAGAGTTTTAAACTCGGGTAATGCTGCAGAGGCACATAGTTGGTAAAAGATGTGGTAATTTCTCTCCTCTTCTGCCTTTAAAAAGAAAGGACTTGATTATTTTTCACAACTTAACAAGTGCCAGAAACATCTAGGAGTAGAAAAGAACTACTATGTTTAATGCTTTCTCTAGCATTACATTAAGAGCATAGAAGCCACAGGAAAAAGGAAAGATAAATCAGCATCGATCATTTCCTTTTTGATTAATTTAATCCATTTTCAACAGCAAGAAGCATGCAGACATTTTCACTTCAAAAAAACTTCACTCTTCAGAACTGCGGATTACTATTAAATATAGATCAGGATTCTATGGGTGGCTGAAATGATCATACTTAAAAGCTTTTCATTTTCCAAAAATAACTAATACCATTTGCCTCAGCATTTATAGTAAGCTGGTAAAGGGAGTATCTTTCTTGCCAAGGCAAGGCTGGAATTTTAAAATGAAGGACAAACACAGCTCAGAAGGTTATGACTCATGACCAACACCATAATTCTGAACTTAAGCACTCTACATTTCATAACTTCAAAACAATAAAAAACCCAGAAAAGGACTCACAGCTAAACCGTATGCAAGAAGTCTCTCTTATTTTTAAAACATACAACAGTACGTCATGTAACCCTACTACACAATGCAAACTGTAATTATTTGCTTGATGCCTTTAGGCAGCCAGTGAAGGACAAGTCCGTTTTTACCGAGCTCTAGACTATTAGGCAGGCAAAGATGGAGAGGAAGTGTGAGAGACAAAAAGGTTGCGCATCAGTTCAAGTGTGAAACAGCAAAAAGAAGACAGTTCAAGAAGGATGAAATTACATATTCTCATTTGCCTAAATAATGGCAATTAAGACTCATCTGTAATTACTGTGATAGCAGTGGGTTCTAACAAGAGATTGAAAGTGAGCTAAGATGGCAGCTTCACAAACCACAACAGAGAGCTCTTCTTGAGCATGAGTGCTTTCTGCTAGGTTTTGAAGCCCTACTCTATAATACTATGGTAAGTACAAACTCTTATCTACTAGTGCACTGAAGCTATTTCATGTTTTAATGCACAGCCTTTTTAATACACATTTTGCAACTACAGATAATTCATACAATAAAGGGCTGAGTTGGTTTTCCTTCTCTCCTCCCTCCCCACACATGCTATATTACAAATATACTATTACAGCCATCTCTTAGGAGAGATACCTAATATTGGTAAACAATAGCTTTGGTGGTTTGGTTTTTTTTTGGGTAGTCACACAAGTATACAATAAGAAGATTGCATCAGTATTACCTGAAACACCACTCTTGATTTTTCCAAGAGGTAAGTTCTCATGTTAGCACCAATGATTCGATACCTCTTATCAAAACCAATTTCAATGTATTTCCCAAAGCGACTGCTGTTGTCATTCCTTGTAGTTTTGGCATTTCCAATAGACTGAAAAAAGCGAATATTGAAAAGGTTAAACAGCTTTTAGAAATTATAAAATCTATTTAATCATCTACATGGCTCATAAATACTTAACAACATCCATTTTGTCCTGGTTTCAAAATAATCAAGAATTTAATAAAGAACAACCTCTGCCTGGTCAGTTTCAATCAAAACCTGGTTATTTCATTGATGTAAGATCTGGAGCTGATCTTCCCAGAAATTATTTCATTTCCACATAGTCCAACATTCCAGCTAAAAATCCCATATTGCTCTCTGAAGTCTTTTAAGAGGAACTAAAGAGTCTACATAATGCTCACATACACCCAGATTTTTTCTAAGGAGTTAATAGAACTACAGCAATTATTTCACACTGTATATATTTAGATATGTATGTGTACAGACAGATGTATAGTACTTGCAACCTCTGTAAGTCTACCTACAATAAACCCATAGTGCATCAAACAGCCCCTATGTTCTGTCTGGCTAACAGTTCTTTATTATTATTATTACTCTATAAATGAACCACATTTTCAAACTATTCTCTGCAAGCCCATCATAAAATATTTACTGTGTGCCTAAATATAATCTAAAAATTAACATGTACAGACTCATGTCACTTGCCTGAAACTGAATCCCTTTCATAACAGCTTGGTTACTGACTCAGACACAGTCTTCAGTGCTGCCCTACATGCCTACCTTTCTCAGACTAATTCAATGCAGCTTCATACATTAAATACTGTTTATTGTGTATTTCCTCTATAGTGCATGGTCCTGCGATGCCCAGAGCAAATGATGACTGTGGTTCCTAAACAGTCTGGGTGCACCTCTCTCTGCCCTGCCTTATCAGCATTAGGATTCACCCCGCAACAGACACCCCCCGGGTCTATCAGAATTCAAGGCACGCAGATCACAACATGCTGAACTTCAAAGAAACGCATCTTCTCTTCTCAACTAGATCCTGTTTTGGACATCATATAGTAATTCATCTTCCCCCCCCAAAAAAATCCTAAAGATATATCTGTATCAAAAGGAACGACATTTGGAGTAACTCAGATAAGCACGCTGCCTTTTATCATACGCTGCTGGGTGTGTGGTATCCAGACCCTAACTCTGAAGTGCCCCAAAACTAAAGACCACGGGGTTGCATCGATGTTCTAGTTCACGTAGCCATCCATAGGAACTCTGCACTGAAACAAAACTTGGGAAGAAGAAATGCAAGGAAATAGCAATGCTGAGCACTGGCATTCCAAATCCGTAACCCAAAGGCGGGGGGGTGGGTGAGGGCGAGGGGGACACAGGGTGGGAAGCGGGGATTAGACCTTCCGAGACCCCATGGCAGCAGCAGCGACACGCACGCCCGACCGAGCAGACGTCAAACGGGCATCAGATGAACAGCTGCCACAGAGGATGTCACAACAAACTGTAGTGCTACAGTTCTAAGAAAACACTGATTTCATTCAAATGTAATGTACTCAAATTGCATTTCTTGTGTTTTAAAATTATTGCTGCTGTGATATATTTTGTTGTTGGGGGTAGCAATATAATATTACAATATTTTCAGAAACCAATTATCACTTTGACAGGCACTACTTATGAAAACAGTTAAGAAAGCCCTTGGTATTAAAAGATTGCTTACCGGAGTACATACTAAGCTGTACAATTTGCACAGCAACATAGGGTAGCAAAGAATGAGAAGCAGGAAATTGCAAAGATGTGTTTTAAGACTTGACAATTTCTACATTTGCAATAGGAAAACTGTATACAGTTATTGACTACAAAACTAATTATTCAAATAATTGCTAGACATGTATAGTGGTCATTTGATATTACAGTGTTTAGTAGGCAAAGATAATGTGAAATTCTGACACTAATGATGGTAGCTCATAAAATCCTGATGTTTAGGTTACCCAAACAGAAATTAAAATAAAATGACCTTCTGCTCCTAAGATTTTACAATCAATTGAGCAATTGAGGAGCTTCCTGTTTGTAAAAGGAATTACTCATTTTCTTCCTAATCTACACAGGTTAATTTGTGTTTCTGTTTATTTATCAACTGAAGAATTTGAAATATTAATTTTGCTGTCCTCCAGTCTGTCTCAACACCAGATTTCACAACACACATTCTGAAGATCATTTAAAGTTCAAGTGTTTGAAGTTAAAAGGATAACTTTCATCCAATCATAACAACATTTAAAGTAATTGAAATTTTACATACACCTAGGTTCATTAAACTTTTTCTATCCCCAGAAAATAAAGCACCGCTATTGTTTTTTAGTGGATAAAAATAGGTATGGGTGGAAAGTTCATGTCTAGTCCTCAATTTAAATTTCCTTGCTTTGGAAGTTAAATCAGACAGTTAGTGTTGAGCTGATGGCCACTGACTGGGAGGTGTGGTCCAAGGAGTGAGAGAGAAGGATGCTTGGCGTAGGCTTAGAGACCAAACAAAACAAGAGGCTCAGGGAAACCTGTAGACAGTTTGTATTTCACTCAGCAAACCAACAGCAAACTGCAGACCCGTCCTGTGGGGTGTCACCATAGCTGTCACTTAGCAGCCAGGCGGTGAGGACGTGGCCACCTGACTGGCCCCAGGTGCCACCTCCGTGGTGTGCAGGGGAAGGCAGTACTGGGGGAGTGAAAAGAGCAGTGAAAAGAGTACTCGGGGATTAGCTCAAAATGGCAAAACTGCCACTGCTCCCCAGGGATCAGGCTGCTCCTGCTGGGGTAGGTGCAGCCCAAGGCAAGGCTGAGCTCTCCCAGCTTCCTCCATAGTTGGATAGTTGGATCCCACAACAGCAGAGCCCCCTGCCCAACGCGGCACAGCATGTTTTATCCCACAAAACAGTTTCAAACCACCACACAGCACCACAAACCAGGCACAATTACCTTGTGACAGAACACACATAACTGTGATGGGGCAGCTATAGCTTGAGTAGCATGAATTCCTCATGTCAGGAGGAAAGGAGGAATAAAACATAGTTAAGTTTTAAAAATACCTGAGAAATAATACAATGGCAGCACTTTGCATTTCACTGAGCACACTTCATTCATTCATGTGCCCACTAAGACTTCACACTACTGCACAGAGATGCTAAACATCTACCAAGGCATTGGTTGTCCCAAGCCTTTTCTTAGGTTGCCCACAGGCACATGCATGTGTGTGCCTATGGACAGCACTACTTCTGCCAAGGAATTCCCCCAAGACTGTTTCTCTCTGGTGAATCACTTCTTAACATAGTTCCTTAACTTCAGATATGATTTCAATCAACATAAAGGCAATGTAACAAAAAACAATTCAGATGAGCCTAAGACATGTTTTCTGCCTGCCCACAACATCAGAATTACAGCGTCTCCTGAGCTTCCTGGAGGACAGAGATCCTAAAGCAGGAGGAAACTGTACATGTTATCCCACAGCCTATTGCCAGCATCAACGCTCCCAAGCCAATGGCTTTGGGACTTGGCTACAGTTAGTTACACAGATTTCTAGAACTGAAATATTAGTCTGAGCTAATTAGAGCAAAATTACATCTTCTCTCAGGTTTTTCCCCTCTGAAAGAAACTGTGTGCATCTCATGCAACTTTGCTTTCTCTGTCTAACTTCCATAATCACATTTCTTGAAACTGAACATTTGCTTTACTCAACAACTCTCTTCACTTCAAAGTATAATCTACCTGCCCCCACTGTGTGATGCACACGTCCGGTGGGTAAGACCAGAAGTTTAAATCTTCTTTGGAATTTTACATACAAAAACAGTCTTCTGCACTTGTCTGGGAACTACCAGTATTACAAAGCCAAATAGATTTGAAGCAGTATGCATATAAAAATTGCTTTGTTATGTGAAATACATTAACAATACTGAAACTTCATCTCTTGTCCTCTTTCAATCTTTCATAAATAGTACACAAAATAATGCCTAAAGCACATCCTGGTAAAGGGATTAAAAACAAAATTTTTAAATATATGTATTTAGGTTCTTTGATCCTTGAAGAAGTATGGATTGCTCGCTCTATTGAATGGTTATGTTAGGCCCAGAATAACTGCAGCTGGAGGGTGGGGGTCAGTGCAGTAGCTCTCTTACCTCCATGATGGGGTTGGAGGCCAAGACTTTCTCCTCAACATTGGCTTCACTGGCAGACCCACTGACCGTGGCAAAGTACCTCATGGCATACTTAGCAGAGACGGTCTTCCCGGCTCCAGACTCCCCACTGACAATGATTGACTGATTTCGCTCATCTCTGAAACACAAAGACATGTTAATTACCAGCTGTTCTCTCAAGGATGCTTATTTTTTTGTGTCCCCAGTGTGGCAACAACCCTTCCACCATACATGTTAGCAATACAGCAATAATGTAAATGCAGAAACAAGGCTGTTAGTGAGCAAGCTGCCTGAATGGCTGATGGGACTGCCTGCCACCAGGATGCTCTGCTGGGATCCACCACAGCCCAGCCAGCCCCCGGAGCTGCTCTTGAGAACCTGGCTACAGGAAAGTATCTGCTACCACTATCCACTACATCCTTCTGCACTACTTCTATCCAGAGTCTCCAGTAAAGTGCTCCAGTGAACTACCCACTGCTCATTAGTAAATATCATTAATGCCATCTTACAGATAGAGATATCAACAGCAGAGTCGACAACAGAAACCTTTCGTCCTTCTGATCTAATCATCAGCTTTTCCCAGCATTGTTCTGAATGTGAAAAATTCAGGCAGGGCTGTTCAGGACACAAACAGCAGCTCTGGAGTGAAGACAATCTCTTTGTAGTGAAGTAATTTCTTCTTGTTTGAAAAAATATAATCTCCATTTGCTACTAAAACAATTTTCTCTCATCTCAAAGAGGGCTCTATCCATAACCCCCAAATGTATGACTAATAAACACACTACAAAATAACAAGGATAGAAATTAGCATTTATATAGCATGAATCTTTTAAAATAAAGACCATTCTTGCTTTATACAGTATTTTATATTTCCAAAGCAACAGAAGTTGAAATGAATGATGTTTCAAAATACTCCTGTGAGCTTAACTCTATCTTACATCTTACACTGGAAAGTGGAGAAAAAAAAGGGATATCCAAAGTTTTACAGAGCTAGGACTGGGACACAGAAAGTTCAGCCATGTCCCAGGCTGCACTTACAGCACAGTAACTGTCAATGAAATTTTGGGCACACACATGTTCAGGCAGCACACAGACAGTCTGCACAGCCTCCAAATGCCTGCTGAGGCCACCAGCAAATGCCATGAAGAGGAAGCAAAGAAATATTCATGGAAAAACTATTTGTGGTTTCTGTAGCCTAAAGGTTCTCCAGATCTGGGGCACACAGACAGTCTGCACAGCCTCCAAATGCCTGCTGAGGCCACCAGCAAATGCCATGAAGAGGAAGCAAAGAAATATTCATGGAAAAACTATTTGTGGTTTCTGTAGCCTAAAGGTTCTCCAGATCTGGGGTTCTATTTCTGAGATGGTAAAAAAAAAAAGCTGCTGACGAAATGATGAAGCTAAATTACAGATCATGTTGTTACTCTCAAGCTGTTTCCTATCTTCAAAGACATCCCCAGGCCCCCAGATAAGAGCACAACTCCAGCATCTACTTAACATTGCACAAAGACTTGGGCTAAAGGAGCCTCTGGGTACATCCCACATCTCTGGGCGATCCAAGGTGGGATTCATTCAACTGAACAAAGGCACCGTCTGAAGCAGGTTTTCCACATTTCAGTAAAAGGAAATTACTTTAAATGGCTGAGTGGCGATTTAAATTTAACAGGAATGCATTAAGAAGATCGAAGCAACCTAATTTTATGTTCTCAACTTCCCTTTAACACATGTGATAGGTGCGAATGACTACAGCACAGTTCACACATCCACACACACCAAGCTGTCTGTCCCAGTGCAAGAGCTGTGGCAAAGCCAAACTGCTCAGCTCCTTATGGGGTTGTGTGTAGTCCAGGTCCCGGAGGCTGAACTGCCAGAGGCCCAGCCTGATGAGACCCTTTCCTTGAATTGGCCATCAAGCCTACTCTGCACGCTCCGCAGGGAGGTTTGTGGTGCCTGGGATGACTTGTGGTAGCAATGAAGACTTTCAGTTGGGAAAGGAAGAAGGAACACTCTTGCTTCTTCCCTATTCCCCCTCCCTGAGTCCACCAGCAGGAGACAGATGTGCACGAGGGACAGCCTGTGGTTCTGCATGTCAGGCAGTGGCCTCAGTTATATGGTTGCTCATCACCAAAAAGAGCAGTGGAAGGATGTGGTTCATCCAACCAAACACATAACATCTCAGCTTAAATGTGACAACCTATAACAATTTTCCTCTCACACAGACAGTTCCTGCAGTCATTCAAGAACAGAGAACAATTTCTTCCTAGGACTGGTATCGCTCCCTTTTTTATTCCTACTGTGCTCTTTCAAATAGAAAAAAAAAAACCCCATACCATTCTAAAATATGAAACTCCTGGTCTGATTTCAGGAGCTGCTGAACACAGAAGATGGGCAATGACAAGCTTTTCGTTTGCAGATCACCAGCTCTGTTTCATGTATTAAATATCATTAACACATGAAGATCCATGAAGTCCAAGTCCTATGAAATGTATCCTCTGCTGATTAAGCTTATTTTTAGCTTAGTTCCCACTGTACAGAAGGTTTTCAGAAAACAAAGTAATGCAACCTCAGTACTACAGACTTCTAACTAAACTGTCAACAGAAGGCTGACACTGCTGCCAAGAGAGGAACACTGAAGTAAAGGTGTCTCATTCGAACTGTCACGTCCCCAAAGGACACGTCTGTGAGTGTGCAAAGTGCCCGCTGGTTTTGCAGTCCCCAGTCCCTCCTCGGGAGCGCAGGAGCAGTGGGAAACACCAGGCTCCTCAGAGCAGGAAGCTCCATCTTTTCAAAGACAGCAATGAAAAAACGGGGTTGAAATAATTTCTCCTTAAGAATACTGTTGGTAATTACCCTATGGGGGTAATTGGTAACAATGGGGGAGTTTCCTTCCCCCATGACATAATATACAAAAATGTATTCTTCTCCTCAGTGCTCATTCATGTGCTCAGGAATAAGGGATCCATTATTATATTGCTGTATAAGTAAACACACACACGCACTTTCCATAAATTTGCCTAGAGAAGATATGCTTGATTGTGTGCGAGCAAAGAAAACCTTGCTGCCATCTCTTCTCCAATGAATAGTTGTGCTTGCAGTGGCTACGGCAATCATGAGAAACAAAGGGCTCGCTCATGGTCTGCAGCAGAGTCCTCTGGCATCGCCCTCCCAGCGCTCCATCCACGCTCAGAGCCACTCTTGTCTGCACAAGTACATTAGTCCATTGTTCTGCCGTAACACACTGGAGTGACCACCCTCTAGCATATTATTCTTTCTGCTTTTTGGCAGAGGGAAAGGAAAACACAACAAATGGGCCAAGATCACACTCGACGTTTGAAGAAGGAGAAAGGGCAGCGTAACACAACACCCAAACACAAGAGCGGCAGGGGATGATGAGCTGCCACTGCCACAACACGCCTAACAAAGAGGCCCTACTGAAAAAAATAAATATTGTTACCTAGAAGAACTTGTGTTTTCCATGCTTTAGAGAAGATGACTTAAGGACCGATGTCTTCTTGGTTATGTTGCAAGTTCAGTGCTCTGAGAGACAATCTACCTGGAGAGACTGCATGTCAGCTGATGGATGAAGCTGATGTAATTAAATTCAGGTCATCGTAACATAACAAGAGTTTTATTGAGATATATTGTGCCTGCATAACTCAGCCTTGCTGACTGTTGATTATACATCCCCTAAAGTGCTAATCCCAGCCTTTGTTCTATCTGGAGCTGTGTGGAGTGACTGAAAAGTCAATCATACTTAAAAAATTGGACATTCTTTGTGAATTAGCAATGGTTTGCCCATAAATTATCATTAGGAGCTTTCTGCAAAGTTCCTGGTGCTTTTCGGGGAAGACTTGGCATATGGTCGTCCTACCACAGGCAGCAAGTTACTTAAGTCTTTCAAGAAGGAGGGTAGGGTAGTCCCACCAGGCAGCTGTGTCTGCTCAGCAGAGGGCTCTTTTATGTCATGAAAGAAACAAAATGCCACACTGAAAAGAAAATAGTAAAAAACCCAGAAACAAAATACCTTGGATAGTGCATGAAATGTGGTGAGAATTATTTTCAATGGTCTGGTATAAGCAATGGTCCATCTCAAATATAACCTCTTGCTTATGCAAAATGAAATTTGCATAAGCAGGGTCCATTAAAAACAAAACAAAACAACAAAAAAACAAAACACAATAAAGGAAAAAAATCCCAAGAAAACAAGAGTTAACAACACCCTGAGTTTTTTCTCAGGTATAAATAACACCTTTGGAGTTATTTTTAGATAAATCATTTGCCCCCAACCTTTGACTGGACGTTTTGAGCACTTTATATGTCACCAGTCAGAAAAAAAAGCTGTAATTAAAACTTTCAGCCAATGATACAAGAAAGTAGGGCAAGAGCATTACGTGTGACACCAATTTGCAGCCCAAAAGCCACAATCCATTATCCATGCAACATTTTATCTTCTTGGAGCTTTTTATAAAGCACATAATAAGATTATTTTAAAATTAAGATTACTTCTGAATGGAGGGAAGATTTTAATTATGCTTTTACAGAGAGAAATAAGGGAAAACAAGCTGGGAGACGAGAAGGTGGAGGAGTCTTCTTTCACCCAAAGGTGGATAATGATCACATCCTAGGATACAGAACTATATTGCAGTGATATGATACCAAGCCAAATACTAAGCCAAATCATCTTGAAGAGGCGTTTAACGCCAGCAGGCTGAAACAGATTGATTGGGACCAGTTTACCATTCATGGACACACAAAGTATTGTGTGCAGGCATCCTCAGGATCACTTTTGCCGTTTCTGAACAGTGTAGAACAATAAAGGAATGACAAAACCAAAATAAGATTTTAGTTTTAAGATAATTGGTCAAAACATTTCACAAGCTGAAATTGCTTGCAGAAGCTGGGGACTTGATTCCATATCCATTCTCTCAGGCCTACACTTTAAGAGTCATATGAGGGTAACAGCTATTTCTTGTCAAATAAAAGAGCAGTAACACACTATGGAATAAATAACTGATAATTTAAAACACTGTTACCTATCAGAAAAATAATGCTGATGTGTCATTTTGAAAGGTAGTATTCAGATACTATATCCAAGCCATACACAACTCCACTCCTTATGACAAGTAATGGCCATAGAAT